TGCCTCCCTGCCTCTCTCCTGTGGGCACATAATGTGCCTGCCTACATTACCCATAATCCTCTCCTGCTTATGTCACATACCCGGACATGACGATGACCCATCAGAAACCACCCTGTAGCCTCTTCCTGTCCCACCAGCCCGCCCTTGGCCCATAAAAGCTGCAACCTCTTTCTGAATAAACGAGACTTGATTGGACTCCTCAACTTGTCTCCATCTCTGTCTCCCCCCTGTTCTTTATCATCCCTATTCCCCCTCCAGGTACACTCCACAGATTGAGCCGCAGGCCGGATCAAGTGGCGCCCAATGTGGGGCTCCTGGCACAGGAGAGTTAATGAGGGAGCCATCCAACAATGCCGGCTGAAAGTGAAAGTAAACTGAATCAAGGCCGAGGCCTGCGCAGATGACTGCCCAATGTGCCGTCTGAGTCATGGTGAGTGAACAGCAACCCCATCCCCTTTCCCGGACAGGAGTCAAGCATTGAGCGAACATGAATTGTTCGTGGGAGGCCTTAGCAAGGCATTAAAGACAAGAGGGGTAAGGGTTAGAACAAAAGAATTGTTGCAGTTTTTTCAGTTTATTCATAAAGTGTGCCCTTGGTTCCCCCTAGAGGGTTCTATAGCTACCAAGAGGTGGAAAAGAGTAAGAGATGCTCTAAAAGATTTTTATAGAGTTTTTGGTCTGGAAAAGGTTCTGGTGACCACTTTTGCATACTGGAATTTAATCTCTGAGCTGCGTATTAGGCGGCATGCAGATCCTCAGGTTGAGGAGATGGTCGCACAGGGTGAGGCTGCCCTGCGCAACTCCCTTAATCCTACCCCAAAACCGTCCTCAGAAAAATCTGAAGCCTCTGATCTCTCAGATGCAGAGGCTGATGGCCTGTTAGAGGTCCTCCAAGATGGCGATCTGCCACCACCTCCTCCTGTCGTCATGATTGGCAGGTTCCAAGATGGCGGCCCCCCACCCCTCCACAGCCAATTGGAGAGTCATATAAGTCTTTATACCCTGACCTCTCTGATTTTCAAGAGGTCGACTGGGAACACCTAGCATAGCAAGCCTCTACATACCACCCTGACCCTGTTGTGGCACTGGCCGCCATTAAGCCCCCTGTCTATGATGATGCACTTAGTGTCTGCTCTCAACTTTCTAGCATGCTAGCAGAATTATAACAAAGAAAAAGGGATCTTTTAAAACAGATACAGCTAGAAAAAGAATGCCAAATCTTTCAATTCACTTGCAGGCCCTCCGAGCTACACAGACTTATATGTTCTCCTAAGATGGTATCTGCCTCCAGTAAGCCTCGTGGTACTCTTAAAATGGCGCCTGCATCTGGCAGTCAGCCCAAAATGGCGTTCCCAGTCATGGAGGCCGTTGTTCCCCCATGGGATGTTGAAGAGGGTACTGAACCACAAATGGTTAGGATACACACACCTCTCACCATGACAGCCCTAAAACAGTTAAAGGCCACAGTCTCTCAATACGGCCCGACTGCAACCTATACTATTGCAGTTCTAGATTCTTTGACTCAGGGTTGGATTATTCCTAATGAGTGGAAAGACTTAGCAAAAGCCACCCTCTCCGGAGGCAATTATCTATTATGGAAATCTGAATTTTTTGATCAATGTGAAGGCATGGAAATATGAAAGAGCCACTCTTGAAAGTTAAAAGTATGCTTGCCTTTTTCTCAATAAACCTATCCTTTGTATATATCCCAGAGAAACTGTCCTTAAGAAAACAATTATAAGGCCATCATTACAGTGCTTTTTACTGGAGTCAAAGTAGTGGCCTTTCACTATGAAAACATAACCAAGACAAAATGTGGTAACACACATTATGGAATAGCATACAGAATGCAGAAATAATGAACTAGATGTACATGCAGAAACATGGGTATATCTTAAAATAGTGTAGAACAAAAAAGAATAAAATTTATGATACTATTTATGTAAATTAAAAATACAAACATACAAAATAGCACTGCCTAATTTTCCAGTATAAATGTAAAGATTTAAAAGAAACATTAGACTTGTGCCTGTGTTTGAGATGGTGTGGGATATGGAAAAAAAAAACCTGAAGATAAGAGAAAAAATGGCACAAATCTGTAAGCCAGAACTCTGGGAGAATGAGGCGGAAGGATCAAATGTTTAATTCCAATTTAACATCTTACTAAGCCTGTCTCAAAACAAAAACATGAAAAGGACTATGAGTGTAGCATGGTGTAAATGTGCTAGGTCTGATCCCCAAAATGAACGAAGAGGCTTATGATGGAACAACACATTAATATGCTTGGACCTGAGGAATACAACTGATTTCACAAATTTAGGGACTAAAGAATGGACAGAAAAAAAGGAAGCGAAGAAAGAGTTCTCCCACAAAAAAAAAAAAAAAAAAAAAAAAAAAAACCTATTCTGTTATCTAACAGATTAAGGCTATTTTCTCAGCTTAAATTCATTGTCCCTCAAGAGCTGCCTGAGAGCTAAATACACATAGAACTATAATAGCAAAATGAAGAGGTTAAATTATCCGGAGACAATGGAGGTACCTTTTTGCAATTCCAGTTTGGCTGCCTTTCATGAAAATTTTGTCCATTATATCAACATTATATCAATTTGTTATATATCAACAAATCACAAAGACTTTTTTTGAAAGAACTATTAAAAAAACAGTATCCTCTTGACCTAATTAAAACTCTTCTTTAAACAACTCTCAGCTTTTAATTGGATCTGAATATATTCATCCTTCTGGCTACTAATATTCATTGCCAGACAATGAAAGCCTCTGATGATGATTTTATAGGCATCACATAATTATGTCTTCCATTGCCAGAGTTAACCCTGAGTCGTGCTGCGTTTATGATTTCTATAACATATAAAATTCAAAAGTGAGACAGTGAACTTTTACAGATAATCCAATTAAATCATTAGCTGGAAAGTACGCATTCTTATAAAGACCAAATGCCTTTAAGAATATAAAAAATCACATTAGCACTCAAAATCTCCATACTTTTCAGTTTTCTGAAATTAAATTTAAAGGCATTACAAACAGAACACAGTTAATAATTTAGTACTTTTTTGAGAAATAAATTTTCAAACAATCTAAAATTTTTCACTTAACAAAAATTATTATACAATGCAATTTTCTTATATGGATCTGCAAAGTCATCAATATTTTGTTAAAATATATGAGTCTTTAGGAGTTAATGCAATAAACTTGCTACTCTTGGTAGTTTATCTTTCCAGTTGTCTCTAGATTCAAGATAATCTCTTTCCCATAAACAAACAGATTTAAATTTATAAGGAGTGGCCCCTGTCTAGGAGTATGAATAGAGAGATGAAGTCTTAGTTTACTTTTAATGATTACTTAACCTGCTTGGCTTTTTAGTGGTTTCAATTTTCATTTTTTTTTTTGTATTGACCCATAAAACCATATCACAAAGAAACTTTAAAGTGAGAAAAGATTAATATTAATGGTTACTGTTTGTGTGTTCCTCCTGTGGTTTTTAACTACAAACTCTAAGTAATATGTTGAATGTGTGAACAAACAGGCAATTCTTCTAGGAATTACTGTGGTCTTTAGCTCACAAGTCACCAACCGTTAACTAGTCTACAGCCATACAGGAACTGACAGGCCAAGTCTTTGAGCTCCACCTAGAAATAATAATATTGTTATATTTACCCTTTATGTAATACTGTATAAAGAAAACTGTGTTCTTTTCCTGTCTTTTACTGTTTAGGACAATCAGAACCCTTTCTACACTTGGAAAATATGCAAAGCAATGTACTTGGGTAAACTGTTTCATCTCAATGTAATGTACTGTCCAAATGAGAAGTCTGACATTGATAATTCACGTATCTTACACATCATCTGGTTTATTTCAAAGTTTAGACATGTAAATTACTGACCTGTACTCTATAATTTAGATAGAAAAAGATGTCCCCAATCATCTTTAGATTTTCAGAGATAAAAAAGATAACAGTAAAAAATATGAATCAGATTTTTGGGCAGTAATTTGAAGTCTTTAAGCACAAATAATTTTAAGTAGTTTACTTTTAATCTATCGATGACCGATTAAAACAATTTTAAAATTTGTGGAATTCTTGATAGCTGTTAGATAAATGAAAGTATTTCTAAAATTTGAGCTATTTTTCTCCAGAGAGCAGTTTAAAATCAGTCTGTCGACTGAGGTAAACATCTGGTGATGGCACAGAGCACTGCAGACACGGCGCGAACTGAAAGTTGAAAGTCCAGAGCACCCTAAACAAACCCCTGAACCACAAAGAGTGCAGTGCCAACCAAAAGAAAACCAATGCGAGTGACGGAGAATTAAGTTTTTCTGGCAGCTGCATTTTCAAAGTACAAACGATAATTTCAATATTTTTTTATCTACTATACCAAAATAGTATTTCAACACGTAATCAATATAAAAACTGTTGGCCAAATAATTTTCATTACTGTCAGACACGCTGTCAAAACCCGACGTGCACCCAGCAGGAAAGGAGCGCAGCAGGGGCTCGGTTTGCCTTCTCTCCCTTCACTTATTTCTCCGGCCCTCTGCCCACTTCTGAGAGGTCTCTTGCCCCTTCACGTTCTGCTTTAGTGTAGTACGCTCTGCCTCCTGGGGACTCTGCAGGCGTTAAAGGCACCGGCAGCCTGCCGAGGCCGGGGACCTCTCCCCGGGGCCGGAGCCTGCTCGCTCCGCAGGAAGGCGGGGACCGCGAGGCCGGGCCCGCCCCATCGGGCAGCTGTGACCTCACAGTGCCGGGCCTCAGGACCCGGGCGTCGAGGGGTCAAAAGTTTACGGTTCAGAAAGCTAAGACTGGAGGAGGCATCGTCAGCTCCCCGCAACTCGCCCTTCCCCGAGGCTCTCCGGGGTCCGAGGAGACGCCAGGAGCCGCCGAGGCGCCGCGGGCGACCGCGGCCGACGCCTCCCAAGAGCGCTCGCGGGGGCTTCCGGTGGACCCCTGGCTCTGCTGATTGGTCGGGGGTGCTGTCACGTGATGCAGACGCGGGTCTCCCGCGGCTTCTCCCCTCCCTTATTGCCTCTGCGCCCTAGGCCGAGGTCGTGGGGGGCGGAGCGCTGCTTTTCTAGGCAACCGCCTTCTGTGTTTGGTACACTGCAGGCCTTAGGCTAGGGTGGACCGGTCTTGAATTGCTCAGAATCCTCCCTGTCTCCATACGGTGAGCACTGATTACCTGTGGGCTTCAGGCATCCACCCCTGTAGGCAGGCACCGGGAATCTTGTGGTCAAGGGTGCTCCATAAAGGTGCAGTGTAGATGACAATCATGAGACACAGGGAGGTGGCTTGGCTTTGGAGGCTGTCGGGATGACTTAAGGGGCTGAAGAAAGGACGCTGACCACAGCCACCTATGCAGCTCCTTGAACATCATTGAGGTACTGGACTGGGAGAACCAAGCGCCCACAGCCCACCTGATAACTGCTTATGGTGATAGTTGGTGGATTCTTATCCCTCTATCCCCTAGGAAGGAAATAATGGGATTACATAAGGCTTATGTTTTGTGGAAAAGTCATTGATCATACTCTTTACCCAACTTTGATGGCAGACACATGGTCCTTTTTAGTCTGTTATTATACTCTTAATGGTCACATATAGCAAAATTCAGATCATTTAACAAATTTCAGTGAACAATTAGCATGTGCCAGGCACTGTGAGAGGCTGGTTTGTAGTTTCTTTCTTTCCTTTCTTTTATCAGATAACCTGATAGGTATGATGGGTGCTGTATGTTGGGCAGGTACTGGATTAAACCAGTTATAAGAAAGATGTTTATGATTCAACAAGAAAGAAGTAAACTCTTTAGAGAGGACTTGATTTAAATCTTTAAGGATATGTGGCATACACCACAGAATCAAGGAGTAAAGACATTTTAGGGAGAGAAAGGATATGGGGAAGTACAGAGACATTCCAGGGTTGTGTCAGAGATTGCGGTGCTCTTGGAGGTCAAGGTTGATGAGCTTGAGAGACAGGCAGGCATCAGACCTCGGCAGCTGTGAGTACCTTCTGAGTGGAGTAGCAGGAGCAGAGTTACCTTTCAGAAGGCTGACTGCCATAGGGTATGGAGGATGGACTGGGGGGAGTGACAGCAGGTAGGACATTGAATTAACAGGACCAGATGGTACCCTCAAGGAAGGCAGAAGCCCTTGGAATGGAGAGGAGAAAAATTTACGAGGTATTTACATAAGGTTTGAATGAATGACTGAATCACGAGGAAAGATATTTCCAAGGTTTCTGATTTAGACCATAAGAAAAACGGTTCATCAGAGGAGGTATTACACTGAGAGTATAAATTCATCAGAGAAGGTATAAATGAGAGAAGTGAGCTGGTGGGAAAGTGCATTGAATTCTGACGTGACACACACAGTTAAAGCTTTCTGCCTGGGCAATTGTATTTGTTGCACAAGAAAGAGGAAGATAAGATCAGTAACTTTTCACCAAGAAGAAAATAGTTAATTTGAAATGTAGTTTTTGACTAACAAGAGAAACCAAGTAAAAAAAGCAAATCGAAGACAAAAATTTAGAGAGTCATCATCATTGTCAAATGCCATGACATAGTCAAGCTGAGAGCTAAAACACATCCAGTGGTTGGTATCTGGGACATTGTTGGTGACCTTGTTTTTATAAAAGCAGCTGTAGTGGCTTGAAATGTCTTCAGATTGCTGTTGTCTGAGGACTGAAAAGTGTTGCTAATGATTATATAGATGCTCTTCAATGAAAATAGCTATTCTTAGCAGAATACAGGACAGCAGAACATCACAAGATCCAATAGTCATATGAAGTGTGAAAAGAGACCCTAGAGAAGGAAAGATGGCAATAAATGAGAAAGGAATATTTCACTGAACAGTCCTTGTTCTGAGACAGAAAAAGGTTGGGATCAGTACACAGTAAGAAAAACTCATTGTAAACAAAATGAGGAATACTTCTATTAAGACAGAAGTCAGAAGGGAAAAAATACATTTTTAGGGAAAAGGGTATTGAAGGAATGTATGCCTAATGCCGTCGCCTGTGCCATTGAGGACAAGACAAGAGCATCTAGAGAGAATGGAAAAGGAGAGGGAGAGGGGTAGAAAATGCAAAAAAGTGGGATGAAAATATACTCAGCATAGTGCAGAATTGTCAAGAAATGATGTGCTGGGAGCACATCAGTGAACATGGAGACTGACAGACTCAAAGCTTAGAGAAGTATTGTAGAGCCAGATCATGTACTATCTTCCAGGCCCTTGTGAGCAGTCTGGGTGTTCTGAGGAGTAAGATGGAAGCTTTTGAAGATTCTGAGTGGAAGACTAACATGAGTTGTGTTATGTACTGAAAAGAATTCCTGTATGTACTTTTTTAGGGCCAGGGGCAGAAGCAAGAAGACTGGTTAAGTTTTGGTTGTAGTGAGAGAAAATGGTTTTTGGAATAGGGTGTTAGTAGTGGGGATATGGGTGGTTACATGATGGATCTACTTGGATGGAAATGATTCTCAATCCTCCCCTCCTCCTCTACCCCATTCTTGGACCACACCAGATAATACACACACTGTAGTGGGAGAGTGATCAAGCAAGGGAACACTTGGTAAAGAACAGCCTACAAGAATTTGGATCCTCCATCAAAAGCCCACATACAGTACAGGCCCCAGTATTCTTCCCCTGGGTTTATTCACATAGTGCAGGAAGGAAGGTTCTGTAGCCCCACCATCACATAAAGAAAAGCCCATATATTTTGGTTAAATGTCTATGAGCAGTCAAGGAAAGACTGGCTATTCACTAGTGTGTGAGGGACAAAGCTTGCCTTAAAACTTCCAAAGCCATCAAATGGGGATCAGAGTAATCCAGCTGTATCCACAGCATCTACTCCAGAAGAAATCAAACTGTTTCCTTCATTATGCACCAAATGATCGCATGTACTTAGGCCTAATTTTGAGTTTTCTAGTCTGTGCTCCTCCTTAACTCTCTGCACCTGTGTTTCTATCATTTTGTTTTAATTACTGTTACTGTATTGTAAAATTCCACCCATAAGTTTTTAAAACTTCCTGGTTATTCTTTGATATTTTTCTGAATAAAATTTATTATTAATATTGAGTTTTTAAAACTCAGTTGGTGTTCTGATTGAGATTGCATTATAAAGATTGATATCCACCTTTTCAGTAGAAGATATTCCTTAAAAACAAGGAGTAGCCCTTTAAGGAGATTATATATTTTTGATAGAGAAATATGCATATTATCTCTCACTTCATCTTACTTTTTCTTCATCAGTGCTGTCATTTAGGAAAAAAAGCTTATGCTAATTCAATAGTAAATTAGCAAAACAAAATGTCCTTCTAAAACCACAATCCTAAAATTTGCATAACTGTATCTGAATTATATGGAGCCCTGAGACTTGTAAGTCTCCATATGCTTTTACCCATCACAAATGGACTCAGGATCACCAGATGAAGATTTAGAGTGCATCAAGAGGTGAATATCCTATTGGCCAGGTTAGCCATTCTTTTGCATTTGGGGAAGGCTAGTTTATAGGGCTGTCCATCAAGAGGCTCAAGGTCTTCTCTGGTTCCCTAACAGAATCAGAAGCCAGCCAACTCCCATAGTGTTCACCTTTCAGATCACAAATCTTAGACTGATCTGGTCACTTTTCTTCTCCACTTTTATTGTTGCTAGAAAATTTCACATAGCCAGCATGAAGTTGAAGGCACCACAAATGGATAGGTCTCTTACTTTAGCTGGATCTTCAGCAGCATACATTTTATATTTTCATCATCAACTTCTTCTCAAAGAAAAATAAGACTAGAGGCAAAAGATCTAGGATTCACAACACACTGACTATTCTAAGTGTTCACTACTCTCTTCTCAAGGCATGTGTCTGCCTCTGTCTGCCTGTCTTTAATGCCATATATATCACTTCAAAAAATCTTTCTCAATATTTCTGGAAATTGATGCTCTTTCCCTAGTACACCTTACATTTCAGTCTTACTGTCATCTTTCTCTGGTCATTCTAACAGGATCTGGGGAGAGAAGATAAACCCAAGACTGAAGTCACCATCTTTTTTTCTTAAAAATGTATGTTATCATGGCCAGGGATATAGCTCAGCGGCACAAGTCCCTGCCTGGCAAGCACAATGTCCTGAGCTCAATTCCTGGTACCAAAAAAAAAAAAAATTATGTTATCTGTGTACCTGCACATGTACATGAATTTGCATAACTACATAAAACTGAGCATATAAGTGCTTTTAAAATAATTAAGGATAAATTCATAAAGTATAACATGTGGAAATCAGACAAATCTTAGATATATAATTTTATTTTCTCAAAATGAATGTGCTCTTTGAACTAGCACCCAGATTAAAAAAAAATATATCAGAATAAAAGCCCCTCTTTCACTTCCTTTTGGCCACTTAAACCTGAAAGGTGGCTACTATCCTGACTTCTGATATTATAGATTAGTTTGTTTTCAAAAGTTAGTTTTCAAATTTTTTGTGAATTAAGATATATACTCATATGTGCATTTTTTTCTTAACTTTGTATATGTGAGGATCATGAATGCATATCACAAAAGTTATTTGTTATTCCACTCCTAGGTATAAACCCTAAAAATATATAGCTATGTCGTATGTGACAAAATGTTCAGAGAAACACTCACTTAGCTCCCAAACAGAAACACTCCAAATGTGTGCCAAACAGTGGAATGAATATATTGTTGTGTAATCATACTTTCAATGCCAAACATGCTTTTAAAAAAGTGTAACTTTTTTCTTTTTAATTTTTTCCTAAATCTCTGTAATACTTTCATCTATACCAACTTTCACTTGCATCCCAGGTAATTCATACAAAAAGCACTTGGTATGTACATTTCCATATTTCCCACTGCATAACCACGTACACATGTACACACACAGATATATGCACATATCTGTGGGGGAATTTGTAAGAAGTGGAATGATAATATACATGGTTTTTACACACTTTCTTTGTTAAATCATCATGTCAAGAAAAGACTCCTGTATTTTCAGATAGTGAATGTCTAGAAGTATATAATGAAATAATAAAATGTTGAAAACTGGGTTAATTTTATTGAATCTAAGAATTCATTGGCTTATATGTAATAAAGGTGAAATTGGTGAATTCATCATAATAAATACTTGTTTCCATGCCAAGTGAGCTGCTAAGGTCTGAAGTTCTTCTTGCCTTTAATTACACTTAGAAAACTATTCAATTGGGAGCACCATCATATAATAAGCAGGATAAATTGGAGGCTGTTCAAAGGAGACAAACGAACATATAATGAGGGAACTTTTTTAGTCTCTTTAACTAGAATTATGAGCAAGGTAAGGGCGATGGAAAAAATGATTACTTCAAGTAGTGAGACCTCACTGTACAGTAGAAAATTACATTTGTACTTGAACCAAGGAAGTAGAATGACAACCAAAGGGTGGAAGTTATGGAGAGACAGAATTACTTTCAGAATTAAAAGAGCAACTTTCTAATGGAATATTTCAGAAATGGAATGAGTCTCAGGGTTCAAACCATGTTGGTAATGTGCTTTGTGTAGATTTCAAGTCACAGAGGTAGTTCAAGCTAGGTATCTCTGCAAACCCTTTCAAGTTAGGATAAGAAGATGCTAGTGTTTAAATTTTCATTGTGTTGACAGATATATTATTATGATCACTGTTTTTAGAAGATGACTGAAAGTGAAAACCTAAGCCAAGAAGAAATAATTAAAGAACTGGTGAGTCAAATATCTTTTCAATAACATTTGCAAGGATAGTAAATGGAACATTTTTATGATCCTTTCTGTGCCTAGAAGGATATTTCTTCTGCCCCAAGCCTTTTAGAAATACAGACAAATCATGTATGTGGTACAACTGTCTCTTTTGTTGGAATACAAAAAAGGCATCAGTGTAAAAGACAATCTATAATTTCTAATGACAAATGTCTTTGTATTAAAGTAGATAAAAATCAATTTCTTTCTTTTAAAACAGTGTATGTGCAATGGATTATCTTATGAGATGGTCAAACAAGAAGGATCAGATGCTTCAAAACTGGAGATGTTTTTTTCAGGATATCCCTGTATAGTTGGATTATCATTGTTTCCTAGTTTAACAAGTCTTACAATTGTTGCTCAAGACATAAAAGAAATTTCAGGACTAGAAACTTGTTTGCAGCTTAAAGAACTTTGGATTGCTGAGTGTTACATAGAGGTAAGTTTAAACACATCATCTTAAATGGAGTACCATCTAAATTATTGATGAAATAATAATTTATTAAAATGTTTGCAAGGGACATGGATCCAAACAGATCAAAGGCAGAGATACAAATTGGATTGCACAAAGAAAAAAAGCAGCAGAAATAAGGAATCAAACACATTCTACTTTTCAGTAATTAAATCATATAATAGCCAGTATTGCTTAGTAAGTAAAATTGGTCCAGTCACATAGATACTATTGGTCAGACTCTGTTTTGGACAACAGTATTATGAACATTTGAGAGTCACAGAAATGTACATACCATTTGACTCAGAAATCCTTATTGCAACAGTTTATCATAGAAAATAATTCAGCTGCAGAAAGCAACTATATATGAAGCTAATTGTTATGGTGTTATTTATGATAGACAAAAATTATAAATGTTTCACTTATAATTTTAAAGAAAATTATAAATTTTATGAAATATTTTATATTCACTATGTATTATAATTTAAAAGGTTATGAAAATATTATAGATGCCTTAAGTTTTAAAAAAAAATCCAAAAAAGGTTTATGTTCTGATTATACGTATATAAAATAGAGTTGATCAAAGTTGAAAGAAAATATGTGAAATTAAATATAGCTGTGTTTTAATGGTGGGCTATATATTCCCTCAGAAACTCTTAGGTCATTTTGCTGGATATTGGTTTTGAAATGCAATGTAATATTTAAAGGAAAATGTACTTTGAAACTATTAGAAGGATTAGTGAAAAAATATAAGCTAACACTATTAAATCTCTTTTATTAAAATAGAAAATCAGAGGTCTTGAAGAATGTAGAAATTTGAAAAAACTATATTTATATTATAATAAAATTTCTAAAATTGAAAATTTGGAGAAATTAACCAGATTGGAGGTTCTTTGGCTGAACCACAATACAATTAAAAATATTGAGGTAAGATAATTTCAGTGATTTGTATGTAAAACTAGTTATTACTGTAGACTTTATATCACAGTGTCTGAGAACAGTTTAATTGAAAGGCCAAAATATTTGTGACTAATTGTTATTGTCAAAAATTAACATGTCTATAGCATTTTTTCATGTTCAGAGAGCTTCATATGCACCATTCTTCCTTCACACAAGCCTAAGAGGTAAGGTATAGTTAATCCTTCTTTGAAGGTTTTTTAAAAAAGAGTTTCAGAGACGTTAAATAACTTGCCTGTGATCATAAACGTCTGTGTGATATGTTCTTCTGCCCGACCCTCTCCTCTTTACTCCCCTTCACATTACCTCCTTCAATAACTGAAGATTCCAGTTTGTAGGAACAAAAAGGTGGCTTCCCTGGGCGTACACTGCGTTCTGCTCTCGCAAGGCACACGGCACTCCTGCTCACAGTCCTTGAGAACTAAGCAGATCTATCTGAGATGCCCTGCAAATGTATATTTTAATTACTCTTGTCTAAGTGGCATGTTGTCTAAATTTTTAGGGTTTGCAGACTTTGAAGAATTTAAAAGATCTCAACCTTGCAGGAAATCTGATAAGCAGCATTGGTATGTACTGTTTCATTTAAAATCTGAGATAATACTACAATCATTTTTATCAGTATAAAAATACATACTTAGATTTCTTTCACTTAGATTATTTCTATGTCATCTTTGCAAAGCATTTCTAACCTTTGATTATAGGATGTGAAGGTGTCTGTTCAACAGTGGTTAGTATTGATAAATGATACCTTACTCTTGTTTATATGCAGGAAATGACAGTACATAACTCAGAATAAAATTTAACTTTGGAATTTAACTCTTTTTTTCTTATTTTTTCAACTCAAGGTCGATGTCTTGATGCCAATGAACAGTTGGAAAGATTAAACCTTTCTGGTAATCAAATAAGTTCTTTCAAGGTATATTTAACTGGAATGACTCATTTTTATTTATCAACATGAAATATGAATCATTTTATTGAAGACATGGCCCCCTTTTTAAGGAAAATTTCATTCAGGAAATTTGAGAGTTAGCCAATTAATTGAGCTTTAATAGTCTTTCACTACTAAAACCAAACAAATAAACATTTAGTACGCTCATAGGGTATCATTTTCTTCTAATTTTCTTCCCATCTTTCTCATATCTCTCTTAAGTTTTTGAAGTTTAACCCTCTACTGGCATCTAAATGCTGTACTACCCCTAATCAGTCCTGGGATCTTTTCTCATTTTTATCTGCATTCATTCTGAGAATTAATCTCATTATGTCATATGATGTTAATCTACTGATTTCTCCCAGCTTGGTATCTGTACTTTCCTTGACAGCTCTGCAGAGCCATAGACAGCCTCTGTCCCACCTCAGGCTGATTTTCCCTCCACTAAGCCCTCTTTTGCCGCCTTCTGCACTGCCAGTAGCTTCAGTCAAAATCTTGATCATTGCGTTTGACTCCTCTTATCCCTTCATGTCCACATCCAATTCATCAGCAAATGCTGTTGGCTCCCCCTTTAGAATATATTTAAGTCTGCCCATTTCCTATACCACATCCCTACCAGCCTGGTTCCACTGGTGAGGGGGAAAAGCTCCCCATTAGCACTTCCTTTGTTTTTCTCTTTGCTCTTTCAATCTAGTCTTCAGAGAACAGCCTGATGGGACCTGTAAAATATGTCAGATCACATAATTCATCTATTCCAGCCCTCCATCAACTTCTATCTCTGTCAGAGTAGAAGATACTTCTTACATTGCTCATGAAACTCTACATAACTTTACCCTCCCTTTGCACTGTTTCTCTAACCACAGATCCTACTATTCTCTCCTTTGTTTATTCCAGCCACAATAATCGGACTGTTTCCTATAAATGGCTAACACATTCTCAACTTTGTCCTTTGCACTTACTGGAATATTCTTTCCTTTCATGATCTTCTACTCTGTATGGCTCATTCACCTTTTTCCTTAGATTTTAGATTATTCTAGATTTTTTTAATTAACAAGGTTTGCAACAGAGAAGAATGGTGTTAATTTTGGGGGCTTGATGCACGCATTTAACACATTTTGATCATTTTAAATCCTTTTACCCCCATATCTCTTTCCTCCCCCAACCCTAATCTCCTTCTTCATTTTCAAGAATTCACTTTTTAGTTTGCTGTCTAGATTTTTATCTTTAACTTTTCCTTGCACCCTAAAAAGATACTATCCTAGTGGAGATGGATAAACTTCTGTGTCTATCTTGCATCCATACCAGGCATCACACTAATTTTCAGTGACATTTTGTGTCTTTCTTTATTCCAGAGTCACCTGGATTTTGAAAGTAGGCAAGGACTTTGGTGCAAGGCTTGTGGGTTTATACCCTCATCTTCTAGTCCAGACCTGTGGTCAAGTGCAACCCAATAATTTAAAGATGTCTTATTCCTTAGGACAGTCAGTGATTTAGCTTCCTTTTCCTTACAGAATTTGACCAAACAAAACTCTGAATAGCACTCTCCAAAACTCTCCCTTTTAGAGCAACTTTGGCTTAGTCCTATTCCAACTATAAGACAAGTCTTATCTTCAGGTCCTACCAGTGAGCCACATCCTCACTTGTCCAGACTGTTTGGACATATATTGGCAACTTAAGCCTGTCCTACTCTTAATTCTAGCAGTCTGACTCCACCCTCTTTTCCATTTCATTTGTACTTTATTGTAGTATTAATGCTTTCTGGTTCTTCCTTTGAATTTCCCTTAACTCTGAATCTGAGTCTACTTACACATTGCATATTTTTAAGTTTGACATAGCCATAGTGTCTTCCTATCTAAGGCAACACCCTAGTCATGAGAAGGTACAAGGATGGCTTATATTGGTAGAAAGGCAATAACTACTCAGTTCACATGTTTATTTTGAGTCTGTTGTGTTCTAAGTGCTGAGTACTGGGAAAGTAATGTAAAATACAAACCCTGCATTCAAAGAGTTTGTCTCACTGGTTTTCCAACTACTTCTGTAGAAGTACAAACAGAAAATATTTAGGCTTCCTCTGCCACAGATGGATTCAAGCATTTATTATGTTTTTATTTTTATAGTACTTTAAGAATACAAATACCATTTTTAATCTGTACATGGAGGGCCAAACCCTGTAGAGATCCATGCCATCTAACTTGTTGGATTCATAAGCAATTAGCAACAAGAAGTATGACTAAGAGAACTTGTGGGAGGACCATATTGGAACTCTTTCAAGAAAAAGACACCTGGCTTGGAACCTGACAGATTAAAGTGTGAAACTGAAGTGCAGTTTAGGTGACTCAAAGGGACCAGGAGGAATGAAGGTCTAGAGACAACACAGAGCGATCTGACACATTCTGAAACTTCAGGTAGTTCAGTATAGCCACAGCACAAAACGTGGGGTGTTTTGTTTTGTTTGTACTGGAGATTGAACCCAGGGCCTTTGCATTGTTAGCAGAAGGGGCTGGGCAGAGGCAGCCACACTGCCTGAAGGAATCCATGTGTTCACGCGATTGCTCCCCGGCTCTAGCCGGAAAGAATGGCTTACTAAATGTATAAAACATACAGCTGTATAGAATGTGACATTTAATATTGTTGGTCCTCTCCACAGGAATTTAATAGGCCTTTTCCTAGAAGGAAACATTTTACTGTCTAGATGAATGTGTTTAAGAATGAATTAGAATGTATTACATTAGACTGTGAGTGATCTAACGTGTTCTGGTGTTTCCTTTACAGACAGGCACTCACAATTAATTGAACATTGTCATTGCTATTGTTCTAGGACCTCACTAACTTAACCAGGCTGCCTTCCTTAAAAGACTTGTGTTTGAATGATTCTCAGTATAAAACCAACCCGGTTTGTCAGCTGTGCAACTATTCCACACATGTGTTATATCACTTGCCTTGCCTTGAGAGATTGGACACTTTCGATGTGTCAGCAAAGCAAATCAAGGAACTGGCAGATGTAAGTATACTCCTAATTAGATGTCTGACTTCACTTTGGTTAATTCACTGCTTTGTTCTGTCCACATATGGTGCACAGGATTATTCAGTCAGTTCTTGTCTCCAATGTTACTTTTGCCCAAGGGTATTTGCTCAGGATATTTCATATAAAAATATAGAAATGATAATGTTACTACTGGAGTTTGTTGATAATACTGAAAGTGAAATAATTGAAATTGAGTTTATATTGTTTGTCACCTATGCAAAACTAAAAGAAAGCAACCTTTAAAATGATCAGTTAAAATTAACCAAACTAGTGCTACCTATGCAAAAATGAAAGTTTAAATAAAGATTAGAAATGTAACAAATAATCACCTTTTATCTTGAATATTACGTATCACAATTAGAAAATATCCATCGTTAATGGAAGTATGCCAAAATTAGATTAGATTTTAATCTGATTAAAGATGGTCTGAACTCTCAGGAGGTGTAATGCGTCTCCCTCCACACACTGCCGTGGCACCTCTGAAATTGTGAAGAGAGTGAGTGGCTCTGGGGTTTCCACTGACAGTAAACATCCAGTAAGGAGGCTGCATTTTCATGTCTCGAAAGGAACTGCAGTTTCATCATGCAGTTCATGGCATTTCTCCATGCTTTTTAATAGTCTTTATGTAGTATATTTCTACTTCTCCTTCCTAGTCCAGGGTCACTTCCCTTGCTGTTCCATTTGTTCATTCAGATAATCATGAGCAAATAGTTTTGAGTAACTAGAACGCGCCAAGCACACAGACAGATGCCTACACAAAGCCTTCCTACCGTATCCTTGTGGCTCATTCATCATTTTAACACAGATAAGGAGTGTTTTTATCCATTTGTCTTAACATGTCTTCTCTTACTATCCCATTAAATTCCTCTTAAATTCTCCTGTGTCTTCATTTTTTCTTAAGATTGAGATTATTCTCTTTCCCATATTCAGTATGAGATTAAAACTATCGTCTTTTAATAGTGACTTGGCAAAGGGTGACAGCTTTTGCCTACTAGCAGATGTTCAGGGTCTTTGGAGGTACAGAGAAGAATGTCTTTTCAAACAGTGCTTAGTGAAAACAGCACAACTTGACATTAATAATCATATTTTTCAAATTTCAAATATTATCTCTGTAGTTTTATATCCAGCAGAGATTCTGCAAAGTGAATATGCTCTACAAAATTAATGGATCGACTCATTCATCAATCCAATAGTAGTGAATCCTTTAGAGATGAGTGCTCAGTCAGTCTCTGCTTTCTTGTTTTTTTTTTTTTTTGTTTGTTTGTTTGTTTTGGTGGGAAGGGAACAGCTAATGTGGAGCTAAATGCGTAAACAGCTAGCATGTGAGGAGATGATAAAAGTAAAACGAGGGAGAGTGCAGGGCATGGCTGGTAGGGGCGGAGGAAGGGCTGCTGTTACTTTATATAAACTTCTTAGGAAAAGAAAAGTGAGGTGACATTTGATCAGAAACTAAATGGAGTGAGGGAATCAGCCATCTGAACACTGGAGAGAGAGATTTTTCCAGGATCACTAAGTACGCAGTCCCTGAGGGAGGGACGTGCCTGTGTGTATTTGAACAACCATAAAGAGAGCAGCATGGCGGAAGTTCAGTACGTGATGGAAAGAGAAGTAAGAGATGGAGACAGCAGTGTGGGCACAGATCATGGGAGACTCTGTAGGATGTTCAAATCCTTTGGCTTTCACTTAGAGTGAGATGGGAGCCACTGAAAATTTTTAAACAAAGGAGGAATAAAATGACTTACCTTTCAGAGGGATCCTTGTGGATAATGAGTTTGACAGATTGTTCCAGGAATTTAGATAAGAGATGTGGATGTTTTCATACAAGGTGTTAATAGAGACAGAGGTAAGAATCAATCAAATTCTGGTGATAACTAAAAGGTGGAACCACTTTGGACTTGCTGATGAGTTGTGTATAACATACAAGATGAAGAAATGGAGAATACAATGATGCTTTTGTTCTCAAACTTAATTTGTTCTAAGATTTTGCAAAACATAGCCACTTTTGTGTTTGTAAGGGAAAGATGTCCAATGTCATGTTTGTCACTTGATGTAGAGTTTTCAAACAAAAACAAAATTTTGCCAAATGCTTTTGTTGGTTAACCAAATTGTTTACAAACAAATGTGTTTGTGAATCAAGGTACCACTGTAATTCCAAATTATTAGCTTGAGCAATTAAAAGAGTCATTTGTTATTTGATGAGTTAAGGAAGAATATGGAACGGGTTGGTTTAGAAGGAAGAATCACAATTTAACATTAGGCAAAGTGTGAATGCTCTTTCAACATCTACTGGAACATGTTCAGTAAGTGATTGGATACATGAGTCTACTGTTTGAGAGTGTTTCTCGAGTTGGAGATATAAACAGGAGAAGTGCAAGCAGAAAGATAGTACTTAAAGCCATGCACTGGGTGCTTTAAGTACTATCAAGACAATGGGGTAGATGGATAGTGTTACTTGGGTATTAAAGGTTGAGGAGAAGAGGGAAAGGAGCCCGCAGAGGAGGAGAACTAACGGGTAGGGTCATCTTACTGTCTTTGTTATGTTCTCATCACTGAAACAGAATACCTAGCACCTTCAACAGAAAAGAGAATTTTATTTTGGCTCACTATTTCAGAAGAACTCATTCCATGCATAGTCAGCTAGCTGCAATTTTAAAGTGTATGGTGAAAGAGCCTGGTGATCACAGTATGGCAACCAAGAAGAAATGAGGAGGAGGAGGAGGAGCCAGGAGGGAGATGTACATGGCCAAGTCATGCTCCTAGTAACCTGCTTCCCATCAGGCCCTACCTCATTACAGCACATTTAATATATGACGTATGCACTTCCACAATGTAGTAATTATCCAAACATATGAGACTTTCGAGGGACACTTCATATCTAAACCATAAAATTCTACCCCAGCCCCCCACCAAGACTCATGTACATCTCTTTGTACAAAAATGCCTTCAGTTCCATCTTTAAGCATTGCCCAAATTTTAATAGTTACAGCACTGCTGGATAGTCCAGTCTCCCCTGAGATTCAAGGTACCTCTTACCTGTGAACTCCTGTAAAAGTCATAAACTCCTGTAAAAAAGGCAGGCAAACATTTTTACCATACAATGTTACTAGGTAAATATTTCCATTTCAAAAACGAGAAATACAGGGACTGAAAGAAATTGTACAACAGCAGGACCCAAACCCAGCAGGACGGTTGTTAAATCATATAGCTCCTTGTCTAGTACCTGGAGCAATTTGTGACAAGATGTGAGCTCCAAAGAGTTTGGATGGCTCTGCACCTATAGCATTGCTGAGTGGAGGCCTCATAGTCTCTCTCTTGGGCAGACTTTGCTTGGTGCCTGCATCTTTCCTCAGACAATCCATGTTTCTGATTTTTCCAACTTTCTGGAGTCTCCACTGTATTTACAGCTTTAGTCATATACCCTTACACACTGCAATCTTAAGGGGCACTGTTTGGCCTCTCAAGTCTTCTTCTGAAACCTTGGTGAAAGCCTTCCTGACCATACAACTCTTCTATTCTGCATGCTAATAAAACCAGAACCATGTGGATGATGTTAAGACCTACTACTGATTAATAGCCAGGTCCCTTTGGACCATGACTATAGAGGCCTCCTAGTATATGTATGACTGATTACTGTGAAGGAAGTCCCTGGAACCCAATTCTTCTCAAACAGGGTTCCTTGGGCCTTCCACTCTTTCAAAGGAGTTTACCTTTACCCTTTAAACCTTTGAACTTTGGAAGAGTGAGGTCTTGCTGGTTTGGAAGATGCCCTCTAAGCATCTTTCCTCTTGTCTAGATGTAAAGTACTAGGCTTCTTTTAAATGCTAATCTTTTTAGCAAACAAGTTCTCCAAGGCCCTGTCTTTGTTGCTTCCTTTCTGGGGAAATTATACATTTTTCAATTTACTTAGCCCTGTTCTTTGCTCCTGATTTTCACTGTGTCTGGCTAAAATGCTGGGCTGCCTTGAAAATTCCTCTACCAGAATAATTCCTTTAATCTCAGTCACCCACAAAGTCTGAAGATATGGGTAAAATGTTGACTGATATTCTGTCAGAATATGACACATATGGGCTCTAGCCCCACTGGCAATGAATTCCTTGTTCCTACTTAAACATGCATCTGATCTTTACCACCTCTACACTGCTATGGGTATTCTGGTCTTCTGAGTTGCAAACAGAACCTCCCACCCAGCTTGACTTACATTATTCTCAGGCTGCTGTAGCCTGCATCTGCAAACCGTTTTTCTTTTCTTTTTTTTTAAATTTTTATTTTAAAGAGAATAAAATTGAGCACATTAAAACAAAATAAAGCCAACCAAAACAAAACAGTATAAATGATACAGGACTTTAAAACAAGATAATAAGAAATCAATAGTTGTTATCATAATGCCTCTTACTGTCTTTAAAATATAGCTGCCGGTACCTTCAGTCACAGTAAAACTCAAAGGAAACAGGACAGAATAGAATCAATAAAAACAAAACAACACAATAAAGGGCTTCAAAACAAGATAAAAGAGCAAATCCAAAATGACTACCATAATGTATCTTGTTGTCTTTGAAACAACTGCCAGTGCCATTGGATATAATAAAATCAAACAAGACAAAACAGAATAAAACCAAACCCAGCAAAATAATGAAAATTATACAGTACTTCAAAACAAGAAAATAGGGAATTAACAATCCCCATAGACTCTACATTGCATATTGTTATTCTCTGAATAGATGATCAGACTACCAGCTTTAGACTTGAAAAGTCAGTGAAACACTAAGCACTACAAGCATTAAATTTTATATTACCTCAATAGCTATCATTGCAGCCTGTGTTTCTCCAAATCAGTTGGTCTCTTACAGCATGGTGGGGTGGCGGTGGGGGTTGGCTCTTCCTATCTCCCAGTCTGCATACCAGAAGTGGCTGGCATCTGGTTCTCCCCACAGCAGCCCATGCATGGTACCAACTCACAGGGAGGGCTTGCTTCTTGTTCTCTTCCTCCACAGTCCGTGAATGGTGCCTACTCAAGGGAAAAGGTTGGCATCTGGCTCTCCCTTCAGCAGCCCATGGTGCTGAATGGAGCTGACTTACAGGGAAGCCTTCAAACCTTTTTAAATGTCTCCCACAAGCCAGTTCCAAAGGTTTCTGAACCATGTGCTTACGTGTAGCCACAGCAACAATCCGATTTTTCTGGTATCAAAATCTGTTTTAATCACTTTCTCCATTGCTTAGACAAAATACTCTAGACTTTCAGTTTAAAAGATGAGTTCTAGAGGTCTCAGTCTATGCATAGTTGGTGAGCTCTAAGGCAAAAATCATGGTGCAAGAGCCTGACAGGGGAAAGCTGATCACAGCATGGCAGCTCAAGTAGAGATAACTAAGAGAGGAGTTCTTGGTAAGTGTCTGCAACGCAGGCCCGGAGGAGAACAGAGCTCCAGAGCTCCGGCCATGGAGGGACTCAGGCAGCTTATTCACCTGCCTTCTTGATAAGCACCTGCAGCTTAGGCCTGGAAAAGAACCATTACCTGTGAGCCAACTTCCACTCGAGCTGAAAATCAAGCACCCTTCTCCCACCTGCCCCCTTACCTACTGAGGATAGATATTTCAACATCTCTTGGGAGGATGACCATATGCAGTATAGCAAATATGGGGGATTTCCTTCTATCTTCTGTTTGAAGGCATAGGTTGTTTTCACTTTTTGTTATATTTCTTTTGCCCTATTCAGTATTCTCAATTGGTTTTACAATGTTCTATTTTTGGTTTGATTTTACAATACATAATTGACTGGATAGCTATTGTCAAATTAAAGAGATATACCATAGTACTTAGTACTACTATCCCAGTATCCTACTGTGAAATCCTGTACCAATTTCACTGCATTGTCTCGACTGGCTTTGTTCTGTCTTGCGCTGTTGCATATTTGCTACTTTCAAAATTAAAAAAAAAAAAAGATACATGTTAAGACCCATGCATGTGTAGAATCTATAAACAGTTTATGAGAACTGATCTTATGACAATTGATGAAATGAACAGATACTTTGAAGAAAAGGAGACACTAAAATACCCATTGTTGATCCTGGAGTGTCATAATGTGAAACCCAGCAATAGTGTTATTCTTTGTTCAGAGTGATATTAGCCTGCTTGGGTTTATTGAAAGTCAACATAATTGAGGATATGGGTAACTGCATATATGTTTAAGTGTAGAGGATTGATAACCATATTTCAAATTTTTTTTGGATAGTTGAACAGTACTGGTTGCAATCTCACTGTTTGAATCCCCACTTTATATGCACCAATTTAGTATCTTAAATAACTATTTGTAAGAAGACAATCTGTAGTCATCAACTAATGATTTCTTACTGTTTATTTTTCTTTGAAATTATGTATTATTTCTACCCGTTTTCTGGTTTTTTAGTCTTTCTTTAAATTCAGTTTTAAAAAGAAGACACTACAGTACCCAGTGCTGATCATGGAGTGTCATGAAGTGAAATCCAGCAATACTATTATTCTTTGTTCAAAATGATTTTAACCTGCTTTAGTTTGTTTAATCTAAACATAAATGAAGATATGGATAACTGCATGTATGTTTAAATGTATAGGATTGACAACCATGTTACTAAGTTTTTGGTGGACAGTTGATTAGAACTTTTTTCAGTCTCTCTGTTTGAATTCCCACTTTACATGTTCCATTTTTGTACCTTGAACAACTATTTGTAAAACGACATCAACTAGTGATTTCTTACTCTTTTTTTCTCTGAATGTATGTACTATTTCTACCTATTTTCTGTTTTGTTTAATCTTTCTTTAAATAAAAAAAATGGATAAAAGAGGTTTGATCTCAAGAGAAATGCAAGTCAAGAATGCTCGTCAAAATTATTTGTTTATGTATGTGTACACACATAAAAGAGGAAAAATTAATTCACCTTGGGTATGATATTTTTTTAATTTAAAAACTTTTTAAAAATAGTAATAGCATAGTGTTTGGCATTGCATGCTTTCTGGGTTTTAAGGTTTTCCTCTGGGAGCAGTAAAAATAAAAGTTTTTTACATCCCTAGCCACTGAAGCAATAAGCAGAACTGTTTGCATGATTGATGTAACTTTCTCATACTATGTCAGTAAGCACATTATCAGGAGACTGAAAAACTACAAAAGAACAAGATCTCTAAATCCACAAATTTCATCTACTCAAACGTCAATTCTTTGTTTTTGTTTTTCCATTCTTATATCTTTGAAGAACTGTCTGTACCTAGTCCTTCTATTGAATATAATAAAATTTATATTAAATGTCAAAAAAAAAAAAAAAAACTAAGAGAGGACCCGGGAAGTAAGATACAGAGTTTTAGGTTATGAACCCAGAACTCACCTCCAACCAGATTCCCCACATTCAGTATAGTGACCCCACAAGCCAGTCACCATCCAAACATATGAGGCTTCTGGAGAACACTCCAGATTTACACCATAATACTTGAGGTATAGATTTCTTGATAAAGAGAAACTCCAGTATTTCAGGTAAATGACTAAAACCAGGTCACATTTTTACAACATGGCTGATTATTTTATGCTGCCCTCAGCTATTTTTGATTGATCCAACTGTCCTAAGCAGCACTTAGGTAGCATGTTAGTAGTACTGTCTCAATAGCTAAATAATACTATTCTGTAAATTCGGTCTTTAGTGTCTTCATGTTCTCATCCTGTAAATAAATATGAGTATGTCTCACATGTAAATATTATCCACAAAGAGCATCTTTAAAATTGTATATTTCTCATATTAAATTTAAGTAGGGAACTCTGTGAGCCATGGTCCCTCCAGCTATTTTTATAATTTGAAACTGATCTAGAAAAACTTACCATTGGGATGTAAAATGTGTCATCCTCACATAATGCCACTCATAATGACCTATACTTTTTTTTACTTATTCTTCTGTTGTTTTATTTCTTATTTTAGACCACAGCAATGAAAAAAATAATGTATTACAATATGCGTATAAAAACTGTTCAAAGGCATCTTAATGAAGACCTTGAAAAATTAAATGACAGAAAATGCAAATTACAGAAGTTGCCAGAAGAACAAATAAAGTTACTCAGCTTTGTGAAAAAAAATGTAAGATTTAATAGTGTACAATTTCAGTCATTATATCCTTTAAACCAAAGGTAGCAAAATCTTTTAAGTTTATGTATATACAGCTAATACTGAATTTTAATTCAACTTTGCCCTAAAAATGTTTTGATTCCAGGTAATTAAGCTGCATTCTATGACTAGAAGACCTCAGTTCAAAACCAGTATGTCGTTACATACTTTTGAAATTTTTACAAAGCTATGTGATTCAGTATGACTGAGGTGCAGAGATCTGTTGTATGTTCTTTAGCTGCATTTTTATTAGGCACCATAGGCCGTGCTCAAAATGCATTTTAAATGTTAAAGTATCTCTTCTATTACTGGTAAAGGGTTTCAGTGGCAAGGAGGCTTTGAATCAGTCTATATCTTAGTATTATGTGCTTTTCATTTAGAGTAAGTTGAATTTTCTGTATTAAAAGTAGACCCTGAAAATTAAAGATTGCTTATCTCCAAACAAATTCTTAGATACATAAAGCTTTATTTTTTTAAAAAGTATGAATAAACAATTGATTATTCAATAAATCATTTTTTAAAAAAATAGCTAAACTATTTAAGAGTATGAGTCCTTAGTTTACACTATACCACAACTAAGTATCAACGGGTAAAAAAGAATTAAATGTGTGAAATAAAAACATAAAAAAATTCAATAATAAACATATAAATACATTTAACTGATCTCAGCTAGCCAAATAAGTATGAGAAATCATGAAGAAACAAAATACAGATTTAACCGCAAAAAAGTAAAATGATTTTGTACTAAAAGTATTACTAATAAAAGTAAACAAACAACAAATGACAATCTGGAAAAAAAAGATTTTCAATAAAAATGAGGGACTACAGATTTTTGTCCTTGTATAATAGGTACTAGTACTTTTTAATGATGCAGAATGAAAAGTAAACACCCAAATAAAAAAAGGGAATAAAGTAATAAAATAGCACTTTATAAAAAAAAAAAAGACCAATAAACACTTGAAGGAGCAACTCAGTTGATAATTTTCAAGGGTTAATTAAGACATCAAGAAATTATTTTCACTGGTCAGCTATCAAAGCACAAATGCATGGCAGTGCTCTGGCTGGTGAAGGCCGGTGAAATGAGTGACACACTGCCCGCCAGTGCTGGGATCCTGAAGGATGCTCAAAACCCTCGGCTTAGTGAGTACACACCTAGCACTCTGCTCTCTGGTTATTCACCACTGCACAGTCAGTGATTTACTCCTAATCCTCCATTCTAAGTTGACTCACCACTGCACTATTAAAAACGAGAAAAAAATGGGACTACTTAAATGTTTAACAAGAGTTCCCCTTTGTGACAGAGCAGTAGATAGTAAAAACCAAGGCCTTAAAATGTATTTAGCACGTTTTCAAAAATGAGATTTTAATTATTATAATCAGAAAACATTAAAGTAAAATATTAACAAATATAAATTATTTGAATAAAAATCACAGGAGAAAGTCATTTTATATTTGCCATTTCCATATGTAAAACAGGTTGAGTATCTCTTGTCTGAAAAGCTTGGTAACAAAAATATTTCAGAATTTTGAATTTTTCAAATTTTTGGAATATTTGCATGTTTTTGGCATCTGAAATGTACCAAGAAGTTTTGAGTTGTAGAGCATTTCATGTCTTGGATTTTCAGATTAAGAACTCTCACCTTGCAATAAGTAAAATCTCAAAAAAAAAAAAAAAAGTAAAATCTCCAAATGTGGAAAATAAATCATAAATTAGGTAAACTGTAAACATTTTTGTAAATAGACTTAATTTGTCTTTTACCCAATACAGTTCTACATAGGCATTTTACTGAAAAAAAATACAAGTAATTAGTAAATTTCTATTCATGTGCTTTCTGTACAATACAATTTCTTTTAAAATCTTACAAGGTTAAGATTACAGTGACATAAATAAGGCTCTTGCATTGAGTCCAAAATTTAAGGGAATGCCCAAAACTTAAGTAGTGAAGATAAATAACATTTTATGCAATATTTTTTTTAAATATCCAAGGGTCTCATTGCTGGGACATAGTACCCAACACTTGCAACTTATAGGGAGAGGTGCATTTTGGCTCACAGTTCTGAAATTATAGTCTTGCAGTGATTTGACCTATATGGGAGACTAAGGCAAAAGGATAAATGTGTACCCCCATGTACAAGCTTTGCTTTACTTTTTGTGATTAACTTTCCCCTAAACACCACATACTCAGAATGGTACATACACAGTTATCTAGGACCATGTGAAAACAAGGTCATGTTTATGCTCAAAAAACACTGACAAGTAGGTGTGTGAAATATCACAACTTTATTTTTAAAGTTTAAATATTTCATTTATGTCAAATCTGGCATTTATTGTAATTTTGCTTTGGCTTTACTGTAAGCAAACATCAAATTTTAAGACCAACTGTCTTGATTTTCGTATTTCAAATTGTGAGACCACCATGTTTGAAGTACTTATGGCTGTCATTTGGTCAAAGTAAATTAGTTGAAAGTGGACTGAAGTTGAAATCATGTATTTGGTATGCTTTTATGAAGTCTGTCCTATTTATTACCTAACTTTCTACATTGTTAAGTTAAATTAACTACTTAATAGATCTCACTAAAAATTAATATCTGAAGTCAGGTTTTATCTTTACCATCTTTAATTTTTATTTTGTTTTCTGGTGCATGGTTTTTAACAGTTGGAACGGGAACTGACTGAACTCAAGGGATCTGGCAAAGGACACAGTGACAGATCCAACAACAGTAAAGCAACTGAGGTTGAAAAGTCAAAGAGTGGTGAAACTGTCACAGAAGAACTGAGACTTCAGCAGAAGATAATGATCAAATTAAATGCCCTAAATGAAAGGGTAACATTCTGGAACAAAAAACTAGATGAGTATGTTTAATGAGTTCTGGAGTTAAGATCTGAAGCATGAGAGGATCAGAATGCAAGGGGTCCTTCAGTTTCTTGTTCAGGAATGGAAAGAATTACAGAACGGAGACATATTTCCCTGTCCAGTTCCCAATACATAACGAGCATGCATCTTGGTCACAGCTGGCTTGCAGTTTGTGGAGAGGTGGCTCTTACCCAGGAGCACTGAGCTTCCTTTGTGTACCCTTGTGTTGCTTCTCTACACGTTAAAAGAAGTAGAACACCGCTGGCCAAGGAGCTCACCAAGTAGATGAGATCCAGAAAAGTACATACACAGTTGTCTGAATCATAAAAACAAGTTTACACCCACGTTATCAACTACAAATTTAAATAAGGCTTAATAAGGACTGTAAAGAATTTTTACTTACTGAAGGATTAAGTGGGTAGATTAGTCTGCCCAAATAATGATGGTAACAATGACATCAGTAACATTCTGATGGAAGAGGACAGATCCTCTGAGCTAAACCCTGCTGTGAGCATTACATGTATTTTACGTGAGAGCCTCAAACTGGGCTTTCATGGCATGGGTATTGTTATTATTGCCATTTTCTTGAAAAAATGGAGTTATAAAAAGATTAAAATTGTTTAAGATCAAAAACTTTTCAGCTTTAGATCTAGGATAGTCTTCTAATCTTTATACACTCTGAAGACTAAATTTGAGATGGTTTTAAATTGCAAAAAATAGACTTTTACTTGGTTTAACTATTAAGCTTTCTTTATTAATTGAAAAAATATATTTTAATATCAGTTAATAAACTATCATGAATTTTAATGTTGTAATGTTTAGATCACTAATAGCTGTGTGAATATTTTTTCTTCAATAGAATTGAAGAAATTTATCAAATTGACGTAAAGCAAAAGAAGAAAAGTCATGGCTTATTGATCCCATTTTTACTGATTGAATTGGAAACTGTGGGAAATATTCATTTTGAACAAGGCACTAGATCTGATGACTGGTAAATCCTTTGGAAGTTTAAATATAGTTTTAAACTAATTTTAAGTAATTAGTTTCATCAACCAGAATATAAACTTACAATTTTAAAATGTCACCTTTTCAAAACATTTCTTATAAAAAAATCTTAATCTTACAAAGTTTAGCAATTACCTACTTTTCACCACTTACACATTTCTGTTTATTCTGTCATTTCAGCTAAACTTGAAGGCATTTTAATGATGTATCATTGATCTTTACTCAGTTTTCCTTAGCTAAAGAACAGAGTATCAGAAAAAAATAGTTTATAGTAAAGTATTAGTTTTCTATATGCTTCTACTGTTTGTGTCTGTACTGCATCTAGGTATAGCTAACCTGAAAGACATGGTGAGACCCTGTCTCAATAAATGAACAAGTAAATAAATAAATAAAATCTATAATATTTCACACTGTACTCATTTTAGTAGCCATTTCAGTAAAAACAATAAGACATTGGTTTAAGCCAGTAAGTCAGTTAACAGTATTTAGTGAGCCTTTACCTAAGATTTTGAAGTACATTTTAATAAATTAGTTGTAAGTTTCAACCATTTAAAAGCACATACATTCTACATTGTTAAACATATCGCTTGTCTATTAATAGAAATCTGTAGGTATCTTTTGGTATAATTGAGTATCTTAGTCCACATGGACTAAGAATGCTATAAATTCAGATCTTACTACATGAGGGCCCTCGGGGAAGTTGAGGGGCCTACTCTCCTGACCATAAAGCATTTGATACTGTCAACCATTCCTTCCTTGTAATTGCAGCTCTCTTGATTCTAGTAGTTAGACATTCAAAAGAGAATCCGTTGTGCAGTAATAGAATGCATCAAGGATTAAGAGACAAAGACCTTCATTCAAACTGTAGCCTTTAGACAACCATGGAGTCTGTCTGAACTGTGTCTTAGTTACTTTTCCCATTGCTGAGGCAAAATACCTGACACCTGAATTTGAAAGAGGAAAAGTTTACATAGTTCACCATTTGTAGAGATTTCAACCCATAGTTGGATGCTCCCAGGCAGGGTGGCGTGGCAGAGGGGCACTGCAGGGGAGATACTGCTCGTGGGGGTCAGGTGGGAGGCAGCACACAGCAAGGCCCAGCAGCACTCGTCTTACTGTATCCTGTCCCTCACAGTGCATACTGACTACCTGCTCTTCTGGCAGGCACTACTCACAGCAAGGGTGGGGCATCCTTAATCCTAGCATGGCACCATTAACCCAACATCACAATCTTAATCTCATTGTCACCCATCCTACATCCAATCACCTCCAGAAAGCTTCACTTGTGACTGGGTAAGGATCAGACACAAGCAATAGCAATCTGTAAGATGAAAAAAATAACCTATCACAAAAGGTTACTGGTGTCTTAGTTACTTTTTCATTACTGAGACAAAATACCCAACACTCAAAATTAAAGAGAGAAAGGTTTATTGGCTCATAGTTTGTAGAGGTTTTAGTCCATAGTTGGCTGCTCCAAGTCAAGGTAGCTTGGCAGATGAGCATCACAGAGGAGAAACAGTCCAACGCAAGCAGGCAGGTAACAGTGCATTAGTTTCCTTTTTGTCTCTTATATTTTATGCAGACTACCTGCCCTAGGTCTGGCCCCCTGTATTTAGGTGAGATGTGACTGATTTAGATCCAGAAAATGATCCCTCTCTAGGTGCAGCAGATTTCCCCCTGAAGATGGTAGCGAGGCTTTTTCACGAGATCTTTGAGCTAGTTGGAAGGCATCGTGCTGAACTGTAACACTGTTCCATTCATTTCCATCTCCTCCAGCAACTGTAAACCCCTCTAAGAATTAGTTTGGTTCAGGCAGTTTAGATGCTCAGATATCGGGCTTCACAGGAAGCTCACTCTGTGATCTCCGGTCACACTCATGTTCAGGCCCTACTACATGTCCATAAAGGTAAATGTGACCCACGTACACTTACTTGCCTGGAAAAATGTTCTGTTTTTAAAATCTCAGTCTGTATTCTATTCTCTTAAAACGAGTGATTTTATGAAAGTGACCACGTGAGGGCAGCACAAAGTCAGTTGACATTTTAATACTGACTTGTGCTTAGCTCTCATCTCTCCTTTTGTTCTCAGATCAAGTATCTTTTCTAACATCTTCTACAAGATCCTTTTTTTAAAAAACATAAACACTTAGCATAAAACATAGCACTTTTATGAAATTCAAACATTTCCAGAAACAGAAAAGAAAAAACTGTACTGGGATGAGTTCTATTATTTCACATTTTTTACAAAATATTTTAATATTTGACTGAATATAAAACAACTAAATTATTTTATGTGCTTCTATAATTTACTGTGATATGTTGTGTTTTGATACATCAAAATGTGACCAGTGGAGGTTTAAGTTTTAAACGTTAATTCCATTGTGGAATCTGAAACCAATCAGTGAACTTTTTATACTTTTACATTAAGCTATTTCACTTGTAACTTTGTGTTTTGGTCATTTGAAAACTGTTGATTCATTCAGGTAAGTCATGCATCTCTTTCAACAGTTGCCGTATTTAGGAAGTATTTTATTTATATTCTAGCTAATTCTGGAATGTAGATTTCTGAAGGCAGAGACATTGTTGCCTTCACTTCTGAATTCCTAGTTAGGAAGTTATATCAGCAGTCAATGGAGAGATAATCATTACTTGGACTAGGATGGTAGTGGTGGTGATGAAATATGATCATATTCAGGATCTATTTTAGACCAAAGTGTGTGTTAGAGCCAAAAAGGCGTGCTGAAGAATGAGACATTGGTAAGCAAGAGAGAAGGCTGTTATCTCTGTGGTTTTAACCTAGGCTACAAGTCAGACCATTGTGCCATATACAGAACTGAGATGGGGAACGCTTAGGGGGAGCAAGTTTGAGGTCACTTATAGTATAAATTATGCTTGAGAGAGCTATTACTTACTTGGATAGCTATATCAAATACATAGCTATTCTAGACTGGAATATACAGGTATGTGGGGGTAGAGACAAAGGCTAGAAATGAAATATTACAATTTATGAGAATATATGTAAAACCAAGACCCAGATTAAGTCACCTAGGCAGAGAGTTTTTGGCAAGAAGGAGGCCAAATGCTGCTCCCTGGGGAAACCCAAATTAGAAGTCTGTCAACCAAGAACTGGCAGAGAAAGCCACAATGAGCCTTTGACCAGGAGGAAACCGGGAATGTACAGTTCCACTGAAACCAGTGAGGAGACTGTTTAAGAAGAGAGGATTAGTCAACAACTTGGTTTCTAGTCCAAAAAAATATGGAATAATTAGAAAAATAACTTTTAAAACTATATTTCAAAATTTAGCATCTTTTACTGATTGAATAAGTATGCATAATGTGAACCAAAGCAGAGCTGCTATATATCTTCAGCACAAAACACAAATTCCGAGCTATAATTTAACTTTTTTGTCGATGTCCGCTCCCGGCCGGCAGGAAGGACACACGACATAGTCTGGTAGTGGACAACCTTTTCTTTTTATTTTTCTTCTCCGTACAGCCTGCCCTGGGTTCTCCCAGCTGAAGCCTCCTTTGGTCCGCTCTCCGCGGCTCCTCTTGTGCTTCAGTCTGCCCCGAAGCCTCTATCGGTCCGCTCTCCGCAGCTCCTTCTGGGCTTCTACTTCCGGGCTTCTACCTGGCTTCTACTTCCTCCCAGGGGTGGCACCGGTATATATACGGATACAGTGTCCAATCATGTTAAAGTAAGCAAGGCAAGCTGATTGGCTAACATCATCAGTTGCTAGGCAGACTATATTGTTGAGCGGGTTGTTTACGCGGTAAGCAGGAAACTAGCATATTCGATGGGAGGGGTAATCTACCTCAGGCTTCACTCTTTACTACAGGCCTCACGTCCGCCAAGTGAGGCGACCGGGCTCGGGGCTGCGGCTCCCAACATCTCCCCCTTTTTTATTTTTTATGAATGTGCGCATCGTAGCCCTTCCTGGACTGGGTGCAGAGGCTTATGCCCTATGCGTAGGCCCACCGTAGGTCCTTGGCTTAGACCCTGGTCGGCCGTCCCATGGTCTGCCAAGGCCCTGAGGCCCTCGTCCTTTTTCTAGGGCCAGGCACAAACTGGACGGAACCTGGATGCACACAAGCTTGCACTCATTTCCTCTCCGTAAAGAAATCCCCTCGGAGAGAAATTTAGACCTGGGCAGCATCTAACAGTCCAGCGGCTTACGTGCAGGATGGGGTAGGGCCTGGCTTAGGTCGAGTCGTGCTGGGGAGGCACGCTCTTACCCGTCATTGACTCATCTACCCTGCTGTGTATTGTCACCTTATGGAGGAGAATGAAGGATGCCCGCCATATCTAGACTCGGTCGTGGGCCAATCGAGCAAGCCATGCATATGCCTGAGGATCTTTTTGTCCATTTCGGGCTACCGCTATTTCTATTCATCTTGTTGGTTGGTCTGTGATGGATCTCCAGTAGGGCAGGTCTGATCTTCAGTCGAGGGCTTTGTTGCCCGTGTCAGTCTCTCCGGTATCCACAGTGGTTCTCGTCCCGGTTCCTGTGGGAAAACACAAACCGCGCCTCGGTTCCAGCTGACCACTGGATCCGGGCCCATCCATTGTCCTGTCAGGACATCTTTCCACTTCACCCACCCTTTATGGTTGGGGGAAGGGTTGCAGTGCTCCACAGCTGGGGAGCGATTATCATTATTTAAATTTAAAAAATTGTGTGTGAATAGTGCCATGGATAATCGTGCCTTTGGGGCCAGGCCTTGGCCTACTCCCCCTTTTTGTTTTTGTAAAATTTCTTTGAGGCTTCTATGAGCCCTCTCAATGATTCCTTGACCTTGGGGATTGTATGGGATACCATGTTTTAATTGAACCTCCATCATTTTGCAGAACTCATTGAAAGCTTTGCCTATATAGGCTGGTCCATTATCAGTTTTTAATATCTTTGGTTTGCCCCATGCGGCCCAAGCCGCCAGGCAATGATTGATCACATTAGACACTTTTTCACCTGTTTCTGCTGTTGCAAATATGACGCGAGAACAGGTGTCTGTGGAAACATGAACATATTTAAGAGTCCCAAACTCCTGTATATGTGTGATGTCCATCTGCCAAACATCACCAGGGATCAAACCTCGAGGGTTTACTCCCCCTTTTTGTTTTTTATTTTTTATTTTTTATTTTTATCTTTTTCGTTTTTTTTTTTTTTTTTTTTTTTTTTTTTTTTTTTTTTTTTTATTGGTACCAGGGATCGAACTAACAACTGCACACTTGCAAGGCAGGCGCTTAAGCCGCTGAGCTAAATCCCCAGCCCCTTTTTCCTCGACCGGCGTTTTTCTCAGCCTGCTCGGCAGAGTAGCCGCCCATGAAAATACCGTCTGCCCAGCGGCGCGACGTCATAAGACTGCGGTCGCGACAGAGTGAAACGGGGCGTCACTTCCTGTGCCGGCTGAGGGAAGGGAGGGTTTCCTGTGGCGGCCTCTCGGCGGGGAGCCGCTTTTAGAAAAGAGCTCCAGGGCGGAGCGGATGGCTCTCTATCTCCTCCCCGCCAGAGAGCGCCGGGGAACCGAGTCTGACCATCAGCGCGCCGACCCTCTCCCACAAGCATTCTCTTGTTCCACCCCCGGTCTCCCCGATTGGCGTTTCTCTCAGCCTGCTCTGCAGAGGACTCTGCATACCAGGCTCGCCAATCCAGGTAACCACCCGAGGGCAGACACGCCCCCGCCAGCTGAATCCAGTCCGCGGGGGTGAGGGGCCCAGAAGACAGATTCTCCAGCATGGCAATGGTGTAAGGCGCAGTCGGCCCAAAGGTTGTAACTGCATTTTTAAGTTCTCTAATCTGCTTTATCTCAAAAGGCTCCCGTACATTGCGTCCCTGGCCTATAGCCACTTGTACAGGAAATATCCCATAGGGGTCACTATCCATCCCAGGTGGTGGATGTACCTCATGAAACAAGCGTCTCCCCTGCCAAAGCCGCCTGTGAAAATACCGACCCGCCGGCGGCGGAGCATAAGACAGCGGCCGTGATTGGGCGGAAAATGGGGGCCCGTGCATCACTTCCTGTTCTGACGAAAGGGGGGGGGGCTCCCAGGCGGCCGCCTCGTGGCGAGGAATCGCCTCCGGAAACGGCCCCCGAGGTGGGGCGGAAGGCTTTGCCTCCCTCTCGCGTCGGGGCGCACTCAGGAGCTCTCTACTCTTCCGCAGACCCGACTCCTTATGGAGCGACTTAGGCTCCTGACAGCTAGTCTCTTTGGCCTCCCTGCCATTCAACTTTCCCTCGTCCTCGGAGTCAGACGACTCTGAGGCTAGAGCCCCGTCCTCCTCCTTAGCATCCTTGTTCCCCTTGACAAACACCTCTCGGGAGCTCCCTGACTGGGCCTGCTCAGATACCCTGCGTACTTTTGTAAGCTCTTGAGAGCTTTCTCCACAACCACCCTCGCTCTTAGTGCCGCTACCTAGCATGTTTCCCATTTTTTAATATGTTACTCACCGCGTGAGGCCCAAGGAATCCGCCACTTACGCGTGAGCCTGAGGGGAGTCTAAAAGCCCTGTAGGTGCGCGCCACCCAGAGCCCAGGCTTATCCCCAACTCACCTGTCTCGCAGCTCTGTACTGGAGCGTTGTCCACTTCCACGTCGCGGGGGTGATCAGTCCCCGGGCGGGCCTCCAAATGTCGATGTCCGCTCCCGGCCGGCAGGAAGGACACACGACATAGTCTGGTAGTGGACAACCTTTTCTTTTTATTTTTCTTCTCCGTACAGCCTGCCCTGGGTTCTCCCAGCTGAAGCCTCCTTTGGTCCGCTCTCCGCGGCTCCTCTTGTGCTTCAGTCTGCCCCGAAGCCTCTATCGGTCCGCTCTCCGCAGCTCCTTCTGGGCTTCTACTTCCGGGCTTCTACCTGGCTTCTACTTCCTCCCAGGGGTGGCACCGGTATATATACGGATACAGTGTCCAATCATGTTAAAGTAAGCAAGGCAAGCTGATTGGCTAACATCATCAGTTGCTAGGCAGACTATATTGTTGAGCGGGTTGTTTACGCGGTAAGCAGGAAACTAGCATATTCGATGGGAGGGGTAATCTACCTCAGGCTTCACTCTTTACTACAGGCCTCACGTCCGCCAAGTGAGGCGACCGGGCTCGGGGCTGCGGCTCCCAACACTTTTTATTCTTAAAAATATTAAGGAAAATCTGTTATTTTCTTTATGTATATTTTATGTTCCCTCGTAGGTATAATTCCTGTTATGAATTAATTCTATCACGTTTCTGTACTTGGGACTTCAGAGCATACGGTATTACAGGAGTAAAAGTAAAACGTGTCATTAAAGTTAACAATCGTATTCTGAGACTAAAATTTGAAGAGAAGTTTCAAAAGTTTTTGTGTGATGAAGATATGCATGATTCAGAGTAAGAAACTGAATTCCATAGTGAACAATTTTATAAAAATCTAGCTGTATTTTTTTTTAAAGTTCTATTTTAAAAGTTTAACAGGATTGAAAATATACCTTAGCTAGGTGACCTCATTATTTATCTGTCTGCACGGGTCCTTTGTAGTGGGGGTGGATGGTAAAGGTATTAAAAATGAGGGAACGTCTGGTATGGATAGAAATGTCCCCAGGATCGCATTTAATTATTTTATCTATAACTAAGCCTTGGTGAAATCAATTCTCAATATTTTTTTTCTGTTCTAATTATTAAGGAGCTATCGCAAGATGATGGACTGCCTTTTTTATGTTTTTGATCCTGAAGTTACAGTGAAAAAAAAGCATCTGCTACAGATACTTGAAAGAGGATTCAAAGAGAGCAAAACAAGCAAGGTAGCATAACTGGCACTTAGAATAAGGCCTTCTTGCAATTCAGAGAACCACGAACCATCTTGGATAGAGGAAGTGGGGTGAGGAAGGGCCGACACTTTCTGTTTTCTCTACCCACCAATACTATGCCCAATTCATTTAATTTAATTTTCCGTTAGTTCTCTTAAGAGCTGTCAGTGTTGCTCTGTCCACTAGGATAACCGCTGCCAGCACAGGCCTCGTGCACACTGACGGTGCCTGTTTAAAATAAACACCAGTATTGTAAGGCTTAGCGTGAAAGAAGGACTATAAGTTCTCGTATTGACTACATGTTGAAATAATATTTTGAATATATTGGTTTAAATAAAATGAGTTATTAAAAGTTGCCAAAATGTACTTACAGCAGTGCCTGCTACATAGAAATTTTTTGACAGAACATTTTACCATTGTTGTCTGAAATATTTGATACAATTTATTGGTCTCTCTCCTTTTTGAAATTCTTCTTTGAAATCAACACTATTGTGCTATTGCCATCTTTCTGTTTTTTAGTTGCCCTGTCATTGTTTCTTTTTTGTTCTCCACCTTTCCTGAGTTCTCAAGTTGTGGAGTTCCCTTTCCTTGTTTGTAGATTTTTAAAAAGCCAAAGCCAATTAAAATGTTAAAATGTTGTCAAAAAACTATTTACTTAAACATTCTGTAGGCAATTTAGAACACAAATTTACATTCATTTCTTAGTCTTCTGTGTAGGGCCAGAGCCTTGGCTCATGTGATTGGAACTCTCCGTAGTCTTCCTCATATCAGCTAGAATCATGTTTTGTATAAAGTTTGGTTTCCTTCAAGTTGAGCATGTACTTAGATTCCAGCAAAGTAGCTGCGGTGTAAAATCCAGCTAATTTGTGAGTCCTTGTTGCCACCACAAAACTTTGGCATTTGCCTCAACGAGACATATTTTGGCAAATAACTACTATCAAATGTCACTTAATTTTCTAATTCTCAGAGAAACAACTTCTATTTAATGGTTTATATACTATGCATCATTTCAATAGCAGATACAAATGGCATAAACAAATTGTAGAACAAAACTGATACTTGGTAATCCTACAGCATCCCTAGATAGAAAAAATGTTTCAAAAAGTCTATCCTATCTTTGAATGGTGTCATATTGTGGTCACATGAGCCACTTTTTTTTCTTAGTTGTAGTACTTGTGACTGAACCCAGGACATTTGCACCGAGCCCCATTTCAAGTTGTCATTTAAGTATTTGTTTTTGAGATGGGAGGCCCAGGCTAGACTTGAACTTGTGGCCCTCCCCGCAAGCCTTTCCTAGTGCTGGGTGTAGCATGCACCACCATACCTGGCACATTAATGATTGTTAAGAGCTCTCCAGATACCATACTTCAATAAGAAAAAATATAGTTAGCATTTCAGAAAGGTTATAATTCTAAATAATGTGTCTATTAATATAAAACAAGTGATACATTTAAAACTTATTATGACAAGGACCAACTATTTGTATTTAAGTCATGATTTTGTTAATTCCTAGTTCTGTTCTTGGACAGGTTACATAATTACCGGGGTCTGACCTAGATACCCAATCTAGGGGATCTAGGGTTAAATAAATGAGACAAGTGGTATGATTTTAGGGCTCCAGAGGGAATCAAAACCCTCTGCAGAGTTCTTGACTCTGTGGCTAGCACTAAGGCTAAGACAAAGAGCTTCTCTGGGCCGCCCATATTTATTCCTTCTCCAGACAAAGAGCAGGGATACTGAGGAAAGCACGGGAAATAAGCAGGGCCTTGGGAGTCACTTCAAAGAGTTTTCCAAGGAGTAAATAGCCATCTTATCTCCATGATGACATTTATGATAGGAGTGAGACTGCAGGAGTGAGATGCCTGTAGCTGCAGTCTCTATTTAATTAATTAGTGCTGGAGCCAAGGTGTCTTCAGCTGTGGCCTTATCTTGCCTTTTGAGGTATCTCTGGTATCACAGGTCACTATAGGCCTCAGCCAGGACCAGTGATTCATAGAGGTTCACTTACTGGGAATCAGCTTCCAGAGGATCTCAGACTCACAGATGAACATAGAAAGCCAATTAGTTAATTTTAAATCCTGCTTGGAACTGCTTCATAGTGATCTCCAACACATAGTGTCTTTGAACTCGTTTTCTTTGTAAAAATTGACAGTTTTTTCTTTTTAGAGCTGCTTTCATAGCAGATATTGACACAAAACTTTTGAGAAGTAAAGCCAATCATAATGCAAAATGAACTGTTTGTGCATTAGCACAGTAAGAAATATTTTGTTTCTGGAAAACAATGTAGATGATTAGACCAAAGCATTTTCTGAACTTTCACTAATACGACAGGCTACTGCCCCAGGACTTTCTTTTTGGATTTAACAGGATTGTTAGTGCAGCACTCACTGAAAACTATTGCCCAGTGCTCCACAGCATGGTTAGAGTTGACTTTGTTGCTTCTCTGGGGGCAGATGTTGTTCTGTATCACTTTTTTATAACCCTATTTACATACTAATTTAAAATATTTAAATGACTTTGCAGAATGAAGTCACACCTGGAGGGTATCTACTTCTTTTCAGGGAGTCTCGCCTGCACATATCTTTGCTCAGACATGTAAACATAAAATGATAAACCATCTGTATTGAGATAAAAGTATCGTTAGTTTTAGGGGCTGGGGGTTTAGCTCAGCGGCATAAGCGCCTGCCTTGAAAGCAGGGAGTCGTGAGTTCGATCCCTGGTACCGATAAAAAGGAAAAAGACAAAAAAAAAAAAAAAAAAAAAAAAAAAAAGTATCGTTAGTTTTGAAAAAAAACCCCAAAAACTCAAGTGTTTGTCCTTTGCAGTTGCCTCTCAGAAAAGAAGCCGTTATCCTTACTAACAGCCTAAGCATGTGTGAGTGTCCCCGAATTGAGTTTCTGCAGCAAAAACACAAGAGTGAGAAGAAAAACTCTTTTGACCATGAGCTCTTCCGACACGGTAATACAAATAAGGTGTTTTCGAATTTTTAAGTCTTTAAATACCCGTTCATTATTTTCATATCATTTTTGATACTTGGTTTTACCAACTCAGGAGGTTTTCATCAAACTTCTATTTCATATTTATTAATGTAATAATTAGTGACTTTAGCAATGTCAACTGTATCAGCATGAACAGAAATAGACTCATTATTCAGACATTTAATACAACTTACATAAGCTTTTCACAGTCTCCTTTTGTTAGTTACATTGTGAAATAAAAATAAATGCAACATATATATTTATATGAATACACATACTATATATGTTATATGCACACCAAACTCACAGCAAGGAGGAAAGAGTATAATACCCATATATATGATAATCTCATAAAGTACTCTAGATGGTAGAATGTTTTATCTTGAATAATTATATTGTAAGATGGTAAGAAAATCTTGTTATAATTTAAAGTCATCTAGAAATTGACTGTGAAGTTCATGGTCCTTTATAAGTTGCTTTATAGAAGATAACTTTTGATAGTTATTTGATATACATAATATATCAAATCATAATCCTGCAAAGCAGTTTGCAGGATACACTGAAAGAGTTTACCCACAGACAGGAAAAAGATCAGCTCATCATGTCCTCTCTTGCTTCCTCTTCCACTGTTATTAACTGATGGGTGCTAGAGATAGTCTTAAAAACTAAACTATTTCTCCTTTGTGGTGCTTACAAATATTAGTAATTACAGAAATAAATGTAATTATGAAGCTTTGAGGTGTAGTACCAAAGAATGTATGCTAACAAGAATAGATCAGGTTAGAGATGAAGGGACATCTATGCTTTGCCCTCAACTTCATACCTGCAAAAGATTAGGCAGTCAAAAATTTAGTTACTTAATTCTATAAGAATGATATTCTCAGTTCCAGACTTACTAAGATGATTCATGTTGAAATAAAACAAGCGTGCTTTGCATTTGTTTAATAATGCTTGGTATAACCACAGGGTTCCCCTTTTATAGCCATTTCACTTACTCAGCAAATATTGTTGAGCACCTCCTTCCAGCATTTGGAGTTCGGAGTGAGTAGTGGGATCACGTGCCATACAATGGCGAGCAACACAGCCTGGTCTGTGCGTTTCCTGAGTGTTAAGACAAGTCCAAGGCCAGTAGAGAAGTTTACAGTAGAAAGTTATTAAAATGACTAATTGTTAAATATTCTTTTTTTAATATTCAGGCATCCTCCTCATTACAAAGGTTTTTCTTGGCCGGAGTGTTCAAGCTCATGAACAGGAATCTATCAATCAAGCCAACTATCCCACGGTTAATTCAGTGTTCATTCCTCAGAAATATTTACAAAGTATGCCCATCATAAAGGAAATACACTTTGATCTCTCTGAATCTAAAACATTTGTATTCAATATAGCAGTTTATGGCTTACAGCATACCATTTAACTGTCCTGTTTTGGACACTATTCCTAACAGAGTTCATAAACTTTTCTACAAAGTCTGTTTCTGGATACTAAAAGTTTTCTGAATTTATTTCTGTGTGTGCATAGTTTACTTCACACATTTAATTATATATATTTCACACCATCATCCCTTAGAATCTTTGGGGATTCGGCACCAGATACCCCTCATCTTCAGACACCAAAACCCACAGATGCTCAAGTCCCTTATATAAAATGATACAGTGCTTGTGTACAACCTGCACAATCTTCCATATAATCTCTATGAAACTTGCAATACCTAGCACAATATAGACACTATTTAAGTACTACCTTGTATTATTTAGGGAATAAATGTGTATGCTCATTGCAGACTTTTAAAAAAATATTTTCATTCTGCGATTGGTTAAATCCATGGATGCAGATTCTGTGGATATGGAGGACTGGTTGTGCATGTGTGTATGTGTGAAAAATGTATATATTAATTTCCAGAGAATAAAGAATCTCAATCCTTAACAATAAAAGTTTTAGACCAATACATTCTCAAAAAAAAAATACATGGCCATTTGTTCAGTAGTAACATGAAAAATATAAAAAGGAAAATGATATGAATAAAGTTGAATCCCACTAGTTTGTTTTGTTTTTTGGTGCCAGGGATCAAACTCATGCCCTCACACTTGCCAAGAAGGCACTTACGCCACTGAGCTAAGCTCCCAGCCCAGAATTCCACTAGTTTGTATAGTAGAAGGATGATGGGAAATGTTAACATAGTTAAGAAGCTGGATGGTGGAGAGATTTTCTTAAAAGCCCTTAGTAATATAATTGTTGGGAGTTACTGAAAATATCTTGTTATATAATGTACACAAGAGTTCTTAAGGTATATTCTATTTCAATGTTTTATTTATTTTTGTTTTTACACTAGGTTCTATCGTGGGACAAACAAATTGTGATTGTGGCTTTCGGCAGTGCAAGTGGTTTGTCTTTGACCATGACCTGGTTTTGCCAGAATACATCGTTGAATTTGAGTACATTACGGTGGTATGATTTCTCATATATATATATATATATATATATATATATATATATAAAGAATGCCTCAAACAGGAACACAATAGTAATTTGAAGTCTGTTAATGTTACGTCAAATTTACATCATATGTTCAAGTGTATATTGTATATATGTGGCTGAGTATGCTTGTATATATATGTATAATGGCTAGTTGGTAAAGGACTTAATTTTCAAAACAAGGGCATTATAACACCTAAATATTTGTATTTTGGGGTCAGGGATTTAGCTCAGCGCAAGGTCTTGAGTTTGATCACTGGTACAAAAAATAAAAGGAATATTTGTATTTTGAAAATAAACTATAGAAGTAACACATGATGTAGTTTCACTTGAAAAGCTTCAAACTGTGTTTAAGACTTCCATGTAAACATGAAAATCTGTTTCCCTTTGAGCTGCCGCCACGCCCTTCACCAGGCATTCGCTCTTCACAGACGTGTGGGTTTGCTTTCAGTCTCATTTCTGTACATTTATATATCTAGCGACCCACACCATTTACCTCAAACAGGTCATTTCTAAGTCTTCTGGGAATTTTTTTTCTTTTACCACTGTGTTTTGGACACTATTCAGTATGCATGGGTCAATATTTTTGATATTCTTTTGATTGCTATATACTAGCTTCTGTGTTGCTAATATGATCTGCTGCCACTTGGTTTCTTAGTATTTATTGAATATTTTTGTGTTAATGATTGTTTTTATTTTAATATTGAAGTGTTTATTCTTTTCTAGAGAAAGTTTTTAAAAATTACAGATGCTTTATTGTCCTAGTTCTTAAAAGACTTTTAGGTGCAAGAAACCATTCTGGTTTCTTTTAGAGCCCATTCCTCTTGTTCTTGTAGTTCTTCCTCATTCCTTCACAATTCTTACTGTAATTAGTTAATTTTCTAATGAGTGCAGCACCCTCATTCTCTGAACATCAGTTTTTAAAATCTGATCTTGCTAGTGGCTTTCTCCTGCATATGCTTTGGCTAGAGGTTACATTTTTTGAATTGATTCCTTCAGTGAATTTGATTCCTTCAGGTTTATGCCTCAGGATTTCCAGTTTTTTGTTGTTTTTTTCCTAATCCTTTGTTATGGAACATTTAAAAATTCTTTTGCCACTTTTAAGGAATTTTTAGTGGGTGTGAAAATCATTGATCTTAACTATACATTTCTTAAATGATTCTGACTGTCATAGATATTCCTGGACTACATTACTGAAAAAGTCATTTCATCCTTTTTATAGTCTGTACATTTTTCAAAATGATAAGTACAACAACCAAATTTTGTACATTTTATATAAATTTTCAGGTCAAGGCCCACTCTTTGTTTTCTACATTCAACAATATCATCATAGAAGAAAACAAAAACTATTCAGAAGGATCAGTGTTATCCCAGGATTTGACATTCGATGATGAAGTCATGAAAATGGAGCCCAGGATTAAGCCCCGACCAAGGCTTCTTAGTTTGGATGATAAAACAATACTTTCCCTTGCCAAGACTAATGCTTACACTCAAATTGTGGTGAGTATTAATGAAGACTGAAATGTGGTACAAGATCCTTGAATTTGGAATTAAATTGTAGCAGACGAAGTCTGAAGATCCCAAGCCGCCTGCTGCAGATGCCAGCAGGGGTCATGCCTTCTAGTTTAAAAGTACAGAGGAGTCCTAGTGGTCCCGTGCTACAGTGAGAATCGACAGATAATTTTAAGTTTCCTGGTAGAAAGATGAAATTAGCTTTAAAAATACATTTTATTTAACTCAGATGTCTAAAATATATCATTTTCTATGTTATTAATATGAAAATCCGTTACTGAGATAATTTCAGATTAAGGTTGAATTCTGGAGTGTATTTTACATTCAGCATATCTCAGTTCCGCCTAGCTATATTTCAAGTATGGATATCCATTTGAGGTGTGTCTCCAATTAGCAAGTAATTTATCTAAATAATAAGCTCTCTTTGTAGGGTTAAGATGAAGGCATATACATTTCAAATCAGTTTCTAGGGTTAACAACACACAGTTCTGGTGTATAGTCAAAACTGAGATACAGATGAAAATGCAGAAATTATCTTTATCTGGAAAGATATTTTTCCATTGCCATTTTTCTGGACCTACTGTGTAAGACAGATTTTTTGCAAGTTAATGTATAAAGCTGAAAGAGAATGAAAATCAGTTTTTCGGTCTTTTTGGGGGGTTGGGACAGGGTCTCTCCATGCAGTTCATGCTGGCCTTGGGCTCACTTTGTAGCCCAGGCAGGTCTCAAATTTGCAATGATCCTCCTACCTCAGCCTCCTGAGTGCTGGGATTACAGGAGTGTGCCACCACTCTCGGCTGAAAAATATTTTTTTAAATAAATGAAATCAATAGCTTTGTGTGGTCAGAAAATTATACTTCCAGAAATTTATGGGATTGATTTGATGAAACTATCTCATCACTGTCCATCAAATCTTTAAGTCTGAGATATAAAGAGGGGATTTTAATGTTTATCTTATCCAGACTTATCTATTCCTTGCCAAATTATCATTATAGGTGGAGGAAATTTTCATACTATGATGGCAATATTAGCTTCTTTATGGTAATAGTGATTAAAAGATGAATCTTCTGGCTAACACTATGGACAAATTGTTTGGTACCATAATGTCAATATTTAAGATACATTTTTAATGTTAAAGTTTTAAGTAATATTTTTCAAAGAATGTGTTTTGATTGGATTGAGCTTCTACAGTATGTATTCTTGTAGGTGTAAGGGGAGTACATGAAAATTTAATTCAGCAACAGAGAATAGATCTTTTGATTATTTTTGGTTTATAAAGTAAAAAGAGGACAACTAGACTTCACAATCCATTGGCCTGCTTGTGACTGCAGCCAACTTTGCATTAATTTGATCAGCACCCGTAACAAATGAGCAGACAGGCCTCTTTTCTTAAACTTGCCCTGTGCTTTTTAAAAAACAGCCAGTTTTCTACAGCTTCTAGTAAAAATACTACTCATTGCATCAAGGATGCTTAGTTATTACAACCTTTGCATTCCTTCTTTTGTACCATCATTATAAGGGCAATTTCCTATATTTTCCCATGCACACATTTCCCATATTTTCTTTTATTTTCCCTACTAGATTGGGTTTTATGAGGATATCCTTAAAAACAAAGTATAGAAATAAAAGCCACATAGTATGTAATGTAGAATTTTATATTCTTTCATATTATAATTAAATGGCAAAAATTTTGAGTTGTCAAAAGTCTGCCTTTGCATTGATTTATCTACCTGTGATTTACTAACAGTTTACTGTGTCTTGGGCAATAAAGTAAGTATTAGAAGTTTAAATTGAAGACATTATTTTTTCCACCTCAACATCAGTGCAGTGGAGGAGATTTGTTAACAAATGTAGGAACCTTGGAGTTCCTGGGAGTACTTCACATAGGTGAGTTTTGAGTGGATTATTGAAGAATACGAGAAATTTGGTTGCTTATATCTTTTAGAGAAAACACTCCACCTATAGGCACATGATTTTGAAAGATACTGGTGTCTTTCAGGAACACTGAGGAATTCAAGTGTGGGTAGAATGCAGGATTGTGACAGTTAAGGTCAAGATACAGGCTGGAATTAAAGTAGGAGGCTAAGGCTGAGGAGAAGCCACTTCAGGATGGGTTTTGGAAGCTATATTTCAAGTGTAGAGTCCTCTCTTTAAGGAACAGACTGTTTGTTTTTAAAGAATCCAACTTTTGTAGCTAGTGAATGGACTTAACTAGTCTGACTATTGGTATGGAAGCCCAGTAGAAAACTACTCTGTTGCAGTAATTCAAAGAACACATGTATTATCTTTACTAATGCACCCGTAGTGGTGATGAAACACAGCAAGTGGTTTGAGAAATATTTCTACAATCAAGTATATATGGAAAAGAGGTGATCAATAATGTGTCAAGTTAGATCGCAAAAACTCTGAATGAAGAATAAAAATATAGGCCACCAAGCAGGTGTATAAGGGAAGATGATGAATTCAGTTGTAAACATGTTAAATGTAAGGTGTCTTAGACTCTTATCATGGATGATATTCATATTGGACTTGTAAGATAACTAGTCTTCATAACTTGGCCCTTATTCACAATTCTAGCTGATTATAGTCGCTATTAGAAAATTAGTTGTTTTTCCCTTTAAAGAATTTAGTTACGCCACAGTGAAAGATGATGCTGGTAAGTGAAAATAGATGCCTGATTTTATTATAATACCCACTTGCTGCAAATACTGTAGTCGATTGTATTAATGCATTTTCTTGTGGCATTATTTTTTCCTACACTGTCCGTGAATATAGTCTTCACTCAATACCATTCACAGCTGTTTGAAGCTAAAAAGCGTGTAAGCATTAGGACCACCCCTACATAGAAAAACGTGATACCATTCATTTCATGTAATCAAGGATGCAGTAGACAAAAATATCTGGGCCATAGTCTGAAAGATACATGTCATATCAGACTCCATCCCCGCTCCTCCTCTGATGTTCTGTCCTCTCACTTCAACATTTATAACCCTTCTTCCTTGGTCTAGAACCCTTATTCAAGATCTTGCAATCAAAGTGTAGCTTTACGGTCTGTCTTTCGTGAGATTTCTTGTGAGATACCCAAATTCTCGAAGGCCCCGATTCTTCTCTGGCTAGTCTGAAAATAGAACCATCCCAATATCTTAACTATTATGTACAAAGAATGTTGTGCCAATTATTAATAGACTAAGTCCAAGTGGCAAATTATAGGCAAGAACTAGGTCCAGCAAAGATAGTATGAACTATGCTTACTGTTTTAATATCAAACATTATTAGAGGTTTTTTCATATTGACATTCTCTTAGTGTTATTTAAAATAACTTTCTTAATGTATATTATATTGGCTCAGGTAATTGTTCTAAAGATGCTGGATATTCACACTTGGGATGTAAAATGTAGTTATTTTATTTTTAATTTATATATATTCTTTTACTTCAGAGTCTCAATCTACATGGCAACAGTTTGAGTAAACTAAGAGATCTATCCAAATTAACAGGACTTCAGAGACTGAGCATCAGCTTTAATGAACTGACTTGTTTAGATGATGTATATCACCTGGTAAGAACTGTCCTTTGGAAATCTAAAACAAAGCCGAACTCCTGAAAGCAAAAATAGAATGGAATTGTGGCTCCCATAGCCTACAAGCTGGGGGAAAGGAAGAGATGTTAGCTAAAAGATATGAAGTCTCAGTTATAAGGTGAACTAATCCCAAAATCTAACATACGGTATGGGTGGTAGTGATTGTGTTAGACCATAGTAGTCATTACATGGTGTATACCAAATCACATTGCATAACTTGGATACAGTCAAACTTAATATGCCAAGTTTAATATTTTTTTTAAAACCTTGGGAGAGCAAAAACAATCATAAAACTAAAGGACAAATGATAAGTTGGAATAAGTACTACTTTAAAAAAAACTGTTCTCTTGAAAGGAAAATTTTGGGGTTTTAAAAAATATTTAGATAAAATGAAATAATTAATAAACAAGTTACTTTATAATTATGAAATAAGTTACCTTTATAATTATGCATACCATATGCAAAATTATACAGCCCAAATAAGAAAGCATGCACATGCTTTTTGTTATTTCTCTGTAACAGGTCTTTAAGAACCAAAAATCTACCTGTGTTCACATCTGACTTCTAGCTACATTAAAATATTAAGTAACTTCAGATTTGTTGTTAAAGGGTCTTTTCATAAGTGCCATTCCATTTCTTTCTGCTCTTGTTTTCTCACCTTTTATTCCTTCTTATAAATTGCTATTTATTCTTCATTTTCTATCTTACCATTTCACGTCTAACATTGTCTCTTCTTCCGCTCTGCTTGTTATCCAGATTATGATTTCTCTTTTTCTTGTACTTTTACGTGTCACATGCACAGAACTTGCTTGATTTATGTTTGCCTTTTCATATAGCATAAGGCAAGTACATCAGTGTACATGTCACAGGCATGGATCTTGTCTGACTTTTGTTTTTCTTGTTATATATCATGTAACAAAAATATGTGTACATGTGATTCTAGAACTTCAACCCGCCATCCCCTGTTGATGAGAATTCCAAGCGAGTCACATACCTTTCCAGAATATTTTATTCTCAGCCCTTTGCAACTATATAAAAACTTTTCATTGCTTCTTGATCATTGTGGTGATTAAGTTTGCCCTTAAGTTTGAGTATTAAACCGTTTTCTTCTTTCTTTTGGTAGTTTTAACTCTGTAAGTAAATATAATTCCTGGTTTCAGTATGCAGCTGATTAAAAAATACATATGGGAGGGAGGTAGTTTAACAGAGGTCCCAGCACTGTAGATTGTTGGCATTTTTATTTAACTTTTTAATCGTTTGCTAGTTATTTCAGAGGTTATGACAATCACTTAAGTTTGGTTAGGCACAAATTCAAAGAGAAAACAGTTAAGCAGACAGTATACTTGGATAGTGAGTGAAGTTAGTTATTATTTTACAACATGGCTTTATTGTCCTGCAATACAAAAGCTGCTTTCATCACCTCAGCCTCACAGTCTCTTTGAGGGACGAATATTACACGGTCATTTTACACATAAGGATAAATTTTATGTCCAGGTGAAATTCTCGAATTTTAAGATTAACAAATGTGGCCTCAATATAGACTTCTCATATGTCAAGTATCTGTTGTATGTCTCTAAAAATGACTTCAGATATTGAAGGTAGCCAGAGAGAGGAGATACTCCACATGGGTATATATATATATGTAATTTTGAATCATTTTTATAAAATAAAACAAATACAGAAAACTAAATACAACAAATGCATGACATAGAACATTGTTGTAAAAAAATGTGCTTGAAACCAGCATCCAGGTCAAGCAACAGAATTCACTACCTGAGGAAAATCTCCTCATATGAATCCTTTGCCTCCCTCTCTCTGTAAGAAATCATTAGCTGACCTCTGTAGTAATCCTCTCCCCTGCATTTTTCCCAACTAGTTCTGTCACCCAAGTGTACATCCCTAGTGCAGGTATTTAAATTTGCAATCCAAAAAAGTACTATCTTTTTGCTTTTGTCAGTTAGTTATTTGTTGCAGCTTATTATTATTACTTTATAGGCAGCACATATACAGTGTATAAAAGTAAAAATGTAATCTAACAACAAAACATATTCTCACTACTCACAAATCACTTTATTACTATGCTTTTTACATCTCTTTTCATTTAAAATTTTTCTTTTCATCTCATTTATTCTCTATGGTTTTGAAATACTTGAGCTTTCTGACCCAAATACTTTCTCACAACCTTGACCCTTCTGATTTGCTTGATACATCCCTACACGCCTTCTTAAATGACTGTATATACTAGTTCATTGGAAATTACAAAGTGGTGTTATTCCTGTTCTATCAAGAAGAGCTTATCTTTCTTTTGACCATTTCCTCCTCTTCCTCTTCCTCCTCCTTTCCTCAACCCCAATTATAACTTACTCTTTTCTTTCCCGCATGCATGTGAAAACTCCAGTCCCTATGTCATCAACACCCACCTCCAAACTCCGCCTCTGACCAGAGTCCTTATACACCTCAGTTCCCTTTGTCTCTGGCCAGAGAGGCCCAGTGAGCTGAACATTCCTAGTGAATTCTGCTTTCCTCTCCACTTCCTCAATAAAGACCTTTTTTTCTTTTCTTTACCTCTCTATTGTGTCAGAAAAACTTAACAACTTCCTGGTTCTTTTCCGGCTCACAGCCTCCTCTGGCTTACAGGAAGGCAGGCTGACTTCCTCTCATTTAGTTTTAATATATTACAATGTTTTGCTTTAAAAGCTGTACTGTAAAGTAACTTTTTTAAAAAGTAACTTCTTAAATTCTCTTTATTGTCTTTATTGTCCTGGATCTGAATTAATTATACCTTAAAAGAAAATTTTATTTGCAACAAACGTAAGTAACAAAAGTCTTAGAAATTACTTGTTTACAAACAAGTAAGGTAATTATATGAATAAATAGAAAAAGAAAACATAACAAGCAAAAGTTTTTTTAAATGACTAATAAAAACATGGAAAGATGTTCAACTTCCCAGGTAATAAAGATAAATTGAAGCAAAGTAGATCAATGAGTATTTGAGGAAGTGAATATTCTAATTTTCTATTGTTACAAGAAAATATTGATACAGATTTCCTTGAAAGCTATGTGGCAGTATTTTTAAAACTCTTAGCAATACAAAAATCCTTAGGTGTGATGGCTTACTCCTGTAATACCCGGAGGCTCAGGCAGAAAGATTGCTGCAATTCAAGGCCAGTATAGGATATATAGTGAGTTCAAAATGGCCTAAACCACATAGCAAATGTTGCCTCAAAGAACAAACAAAAAAACAAAACAATATAGAAATTCCCAGTACTATAATTTGCACTTCTAAATATCTTTTCCACAAAATATCTAAATTGCCATAAAAGTATCATTGTCACTGGTATTTGCTGCAGTGTTGCTACCAATTAGAAAGGTTCTTCATAGAATGTTTAAATAATTAGTATAATCCACAGATTATATTACTATGCAATCATGAAACCTAATTTTGAAGAATATGTAATGATCTTGAAAATGTTCAATGGACACAAAATTCTACATAGGAAAAGATTTTTTCTGTGGTCATTATAAGAAAGCATGTGAAGTCTTTTGGAGGAGTGGTTTGAGATAGCGTCTTGCTATACAGTGCAGACCAGCCTTGAACTCACTTACCATAGCCCAGGCTGCCCTGGGACTATGATTCTCCTTCCTCAGCCTCCCAAGTGCTGGAATTAGGTGTACACCGTCACACTTGGCTATGTGAAGTATTAAAAAAAATGCGAAAAAGAACTATGTAAATACAGATCATAATTCTCAGCATCACTTCTATTTTATGTGTTACAGTATAACCTTGAATATTTGGATGCAAGCCATAACCATGTGATCACCCTTGAGGGATTTAGAGGTCTGATGAAACTGAAGCACTTAGACTTGAGCTGGAATCAATTGAAAAAATCTGGGGATGAAATAAATGTGTTATGCAAACATACCACAAGCCTTCACACCCTTAATATTCAACATAATCCGTGGCAGAAGGTATGCAGCAGACATGGCTGTGAAAAAGCGCACACTGATTTCAAAGCCATTTTCTCACTACTTTGCTATTCAACAATAGCCAGAAACAGGCAAACTGTGTTTTCATAGAATTCCTTTAAGTCCTTCATAATGCATAGTGATCAAATGAATCAAGGGTTGTGTCAGACTTTTTTGTAACCTCTAAAACTGTAAAAACATCACTGTAAAATGTAAAAACATCACTGTCAGCATTCATTCCTCCCCTCTGTGCTGTTCAGAAGCTCTCTTGAAGATTCCACACATATTTCTAAGTGAAGAGAGCACATTGACAATTAGGTCATTCTTGCCCACTCAGCTTTAGGATTTTATGTTGTTTTGATACACAGTTATTTCAGGATAGAAGCTGGTTTTATTCCAAGGTTTGTTTTTAAACATATTTTAATTCCTATGTGAACAAACTGTCTAATTTAAATTTTTCATATGTTAAACTTAACGTCAGATTTGTCTCTTGCAATGATGTGATGAGTTGCCAGATAACTTTAAAATGTTTTGGTAATATTCTTCCCTTACAATTAAAATTTATATTCAGTGTGAAAAACAAAACATTGCTTTAAGAGTAGTTTATGTCTTTTGCAAACCTCTAGAGAGTTTACATGGCTGTGTGCCAGAACCCTGCTGTAAGGAAGTACAGGACCCAAGACAGAAGCATATTACTAAGGAAGAAACAATTAGATTATGATATATCTTAATCTATGTCTGAGAAACATGTTTTACAGTTTTCATTTTCATTTTGCATTGTTCTTCTCTATTTTAGGTCCAAAAATCACGTACCATAACCTGCATTATGAAGTCTTATTTTCTATTGTAATGGAAAACTGTTTGAACATTATTTTTATCATCATAAAAACATGTAATTTAGATTTGCAATAGTTATGTTTAAGTACATCTCTTAGTATTTAAAACAAACCTCAGACTTGTCCTTTCAAGCATCTTTCTTGTTCTGCTTCTAAAAGATATATATGTGGCTGTACTCCACATTTTAAAAAGGACTAAACAACAATTCATTTTATTAAATTGGCCATATTATTAAATTTATATTGTTATATTTCTTCTTTTAAGCTCAGTATAATTGAAATATATTTTTCTTTTGCCAGAACAGATGATAGTAGCACAACCATGCCCCTGTCGCCAAGTTGGGATATCAGGGACTAAAGTGCCTATTGATGACATATCGCCTTCTCTAGCTTCCTGCTGCTCTGGACAGACATGGGTAGCTGTGGCTGTTCACTGACTCTGGTCACTAGTCACTTTTCAGCAGCTCATGGGATTCCTCACCTTCCTAAGGGGAGAACCATCCAGTTACAAATGAAACAGAGTAGTTCTTCATTATCACTTAATTTCAGCTATTGTGTAAATAATTAAGCCTTAAATTTTAGATCTACAAGGTATGGTTGAAAACTATGATGAATGCTAGATTTGTTTTAAATTATTAAAATAAGAGACACATTGCTCTTAGCCTCCCTCAGCATCCTCTCCTTCATTCCCAACACACTTAGGCCATCATTCTGGTCACTTTCTGAACAGTTCTAGAAGTCCTCTTTCAAAAGTGTCTTTAGTGACACTGTCTTGGCTGCCTGTGTCCTGATTTGATTCAGAACATTTATCTTTCATGGTATTTGGATTTTGGAGATGAGCCTGAAGTTGCTTGGTACTAGATCTGGTGAATAAGGTGTATGAGTTTATACCATAATGTTTTTGAATTATATAGAAAGAAATGAAGAAACATTCATAATGTATTTAATCTTTTGCAAAAATTAACTTTTTGCTGTTTTTCCCAAGCCAGCCACATTGAGGCTGAGTGTTATTGGCAGATTAAAGACCCTTACACATTTAGATGGAGTCCTCATCTCTGAAGAAGAAATGACTGCAGCTTTAAAATTTATTGCTGGAACAAAGATCACTCAGGTTGGATTCTACTATTTGCCTTTCTTGTGTGCTATTTGGAACATACAAATAATGTTTCCCATACTACTTCTATCTTTAAGATTTCATATTCTCTTTTAATATGTTAATTAAAAATTAGTAGTCATGCCACTTGATTGTCTTCTGTTCAAATGTACCACCATTTAAATATCAAGTAGCTATGTAGATTCTCTTGTTAACAACCCTGAACACTACTCTAGAAATGCTTCTAGGCCAGGGATGGTAAACCTTTTAGAGCTTTCATTGATGGCAGACAGCTGGGTGCCACATGTGTGCCAGAGGTTTGCCACCACTGTTCTACGACAACTGTTTTATATTAGATTTAATAAGTTAGTCTTTACCTTCTAGAGTCCTTTCTAGAATCTGCATGAAAATAAACAAATTTCTGAGGATCAGGTAGGCTGAGGGCCTCAATAAACTATTTGATGAATCCTCTACTTAGTACTGACATTATATATGTGTGAATGAAAAGAACAAAACCTATCAGCATGGTGGGGGATATACCTTCATTATCCAGACTAAGAATGTTGTACTTTAGCCAAAGTAGTTTCAGTATTCTCACCATCTCCACTTTAGTTATCTAGCTCTTTACTTTTTGTAGGATGTTTAAATATTAATTCCTTAAACAGTGTATACTAGTGTTTGTTTTTGATCTATTCAAAATAAAGGGAAGAACTTTTTTGTTGCTAAAAATATAATTAACATTCCTGAAGAATATGTAGGAATCTGGGGGTGTACACTGCAATAAAAAAATTCTAAGACAATGCACTTTGACAAATAGACCAACAGAACAGAGTGAAAACCTATTAGAGACCCACACATGTGTGGAAACCTGAAAAACAGCAGAGTTGCCCTTACAGGTCAGGGAGGCTATTTAATAAAAGGGACTGGCAAAAATATATCCAACACCTAACTGCACAGGCAAAACCTAAAACATCTCAGAAAAAAATATCAGAGAGTGTCTTTAAGATATTGAATTAAGGAAGAATTTATTAGGTCTAAAACAAAGATCATGGACCACAAAAGATCTGGTTTCTTCTAAGGAGACAACAAAGGAAGTAAAAAGGACAAAGTAATTCTGGGAAAAGAAATTTATATTATAGTGTCAGAATATGCTCTTTACACCTCTAGAATACAAAAGGAAAGAGACAACCAAGAAAATAGAAAAAACTGGACAGACATTTCACTGGAGAGAAAATTAGAACAGCCAATTAATTTAAGACAATGGATCACAACATCAGTATTCAAGAAAATGAACATTACTATCATAATGACCTACCAATTCTTAAAGACTGATGATATCAACTTTCAGCCTGTTTATGAAGTAGCACTTATAATTGGTACAATCACTTTGGAAAAGAGTTTGGGGAAAAAAACTCACACACATCCTATATTGAGCATGTTTACTTAGGGCTCTGGGCTCTGAAGAAACTCTTGCCTGTATGCACAAGAATATAAAGGACAGCATATTAACAAAGAAACTGTTCATAATAATATAGTATTCATCAACAGGAGACTCACTGAGGAAATGCTGCACAGCAGTCCTGTGAATTATTCCAGCTACATACATGGTAGAAGCATCAGTTGATAACCTCATGAATATGATGTTGAAGAAAAAGTAGAATAAAAGACATTATTTGGTTGATGTAAAGTTCACATATCCTTAAGGCTAAGTATATTGTTTATAGACATAAACATAGACTATAAAGAAAGCAAGTGAAGAATAGAAAAAAATGAAATAAGGGTTACTTTCAAGGCAAAGGAGAGGAAAGAGCTTAGGATGGGGAATTCTCATAGGGAATCAGAAAGATTCTAGCTCTCAATCTGGTTTGTGAGTGACTGCCAGTATGGGTGTTTGTATTCTAGTAATTCTTTTCAAAGTTTTATCAATTTTATCTTATGAGTTTAATATTTTATTAAGCTATTAAATGAATAATTAAAATATATCCAGATATTGAAAATACATTAAGGCAAAGGGAATGTTTAAAATTATTTTAAAACATTGTATAAACTATGTATAAATGAACCTCTGTTATTTCTTTTATTCACCTTTTTTCTATCTTATTAGTCATGTATTTTACGACACTCTAGCACTAAAGAGGAGAGACCACGGATGCTAAGCATATGGCCTTCTGCCAAAATTCTGACACAGATCTCAAAATTAGGACCTTACTTACATCTGAGTGGAAACTTGTACTTGAAGGTAAAGACTAACTTATTAAACTTAATATAAAAGCTTAATTTGAATTAATTTTAAGTCAATCTTGGTCTGCATATCATAAAAAATGGCACAAACAGGTAAGGAGTAGAAAATGAGAAGAGATGAATTAAAATGAAATTAGTAAGGACCAGTTAACATACATCTTTTTGCAAATTTCAAACATGCAGTGTCTTTAACTTTAGTCATTGTATTGTATATTAAATCTCCTGAACTGCTGTATTACTGAAATGTCGGCCCCTTGACCAGTATCTCTGTTTCCCCTGTTTCCAGTCTTTAATAATCACCAGACTGTTTGTATGTTAATTGAGATCTGCATTTATTGGGTTCTGCATGTGATTGAAATTATGCACCATGTAATTCAAAATGTATATATATCAAATGCAGCTATGCATCGGGGCCCTGGCCTAGGACCACTGATCTCCTGTTCAAGGGTACTATGATAGAATAAAACACAGACAAAACATATTTCTTAGCTACAAGGGGCACCAGATTGACCAAAGCCCAGTGACAAACTAGGACATGGGGTGTGGTGTCCTTGGCCTTCATTAGGCGCACAGCATGATTGCAGGGTATACTCCTGGGCTACAGGAAACAGTGGGGTGAACTGCTGACACAATCAAGGTTCAAGGACTGAGGGACAATACCTTTTTGGAAAAGCACACTGGAACAGATCATGGTTAACTAGCAGTCTGATTATCTACTAACTAGACTACTAAGCTAAGAGGAATCTGAGTCAAAGTCTTCAGCTGCCATGTTGCCTTGCAGTGAGGCACTGAACTTCACTGAACATTGACTTAAAGATTAATCTGTCCTTAAACCATCCAGGATTCTTGACACAGTCCTGTAGGCTTCAGACAGGCTCTTTATTTATGTATTTATTTATTTAGCCTTTTTGAGACAGGGTCTTCCTATGCAGTTCAGGCTGGCCTTGAGCTCACTTTTTAGCCCAGGCTGGTCTCAAACCCTCAATGATCCTCCTGCCTCAGCTAAGATTATAGGCATGCACCACCATGCCAGCTCTTAATTTATTTTTGTGCCAGTTTATTAATATTAATTACTGCCTGCTCCACACCACAGTAAGCTGGTCCTCAGCAGTTGTGCCTATTAAATCTATACCATTTTAAGTTTGTTCCTCTCTATAAGATTAGAAAATAAAAGAGACAATGTTACTATTAGGAAAAAAATAAATTTAACACACTTCAAAAAGCAAAATAATAAGACGGGATAGATGTCACAGGGAGTAACTGGTCTTAACTCTTGTTACGACAGAACTCGAGATGTGAGTGAAGACACACTGAAAAGCAAGGGCAGATTATGATATATGTCACAGCAGGCAAACAAACTTTAAAGGGCTAGAACCAGAGATGAAGCTAAAATTGGGTGGCAAGGGACCATGCCGGTGAGAACAGGGGAATGGGTCGGAATTCAGCCAAGGATAAAAGGAAAGGTCAGAGAGCTCTGCCAGCTTCTTGCAGTGTTAGGTAACCTGAACTCACCACATCTCTGTCTGCAGCCTGCAAGGTAGATAGGAACCGAGCTCACAGAAAATAGGAACTCACAGAAACTAGGCTAAGGGGAGCTCCTGAAAATGAAAATGTTAGTGGCATTGTTTTTATTATGGAATGTGTACTGATACTGACCTGCAGCTTAGGCGCAGTAATGGCCTTGGCTGACCGCCATGGAAATTCTTTCTGTAGTCAGAACAGCCCTTCAAGTTAGTCTCAGTAGGACTGAGGTAGCCAGGCTACTGCCTGTCCCCCTCATTAGCTGTGGACCAGCCTGGGAAGGAACGTGACCTTGAGAGGAGCAGCCGAGGCAGGCCCCCAGGACCTGCAGCTGAAGTCTCTGTCAACAGGTCTCCTCGCAGCTGGGACTTGCCCTTCCCTGCAGTGGGAACCACACAGCATATCCAGGTTCATAGTACCACAAAACCCCTCTTGGAACTATAATCCTGTCACGTTTTATTTGGGTAAGGCAAGAGCTTTGCAATATGTTTAGTTACTGAAAGAATTCTTTCGATATCTATCAAATTTGAATTATTATTTCATTGACCTTTTTTAATCTTATTGATTGAATTTATTTACAAGATTCAGGAGTAACATAATGTAAATTATTCTATAGATAACTGCCTTAAATTTAGATGGACAGCATCTCTTTGAAATAAAAAACTTAGAAAAATTGGAAAATTTGAAGTGGGCATCATTCAGCAATAATAATCTGACTAAAATGGAGGGCCTGGAATCCTGTACCAACTTGGAAGAGCTCACACTCGATGGAAACTGCATCTCAAAGATCGAAGGTGAGATACTTGAGAACTTCGGTATCTAAGATGACTAAGTAGCCTGCCTGAAAAATTAGTCACACTGGAGAAGAGCTTTACAGAAGTTCCAAGAAAGTTTTCAGCAGAGTATTTTAAATATCTAGTTTGTCACAATCAACTGGGATTGTGACAAACTAGTTTACAAAGCAAGTTGACTTTTGCCCCGTCCTCTGTCCCAGCAGTGCCATCTGTTACCAAGACCTAATGGATACAGTTCCATAAATGAATAAATGAGGTGCTTTTTGAATATAAACATCTTTAGGTAATGTCTCAATCATAATGAGACCAATATACTTTTACTGTTTAAAGTTAAGTATTAAAACATGTCTTGTTGGGCCAGAGTAAATAGAGGCGACTTTTCGTGCCTCCCTCCACCAAGATTAAGAGTACATGTTCTGGAATATATATGCATACATATATTTTGTAAACTTTTGTCCAGGCTTGTCTTTCTTACCCTTAGTTAATAATGTGAACCTGAAAAGAAATAAAAATAAACTTTCTATGAGTTGCTAACAACTTCCTTTTATTCTCTCTTCAAAAATAACTCCACTGGTTTTCATAACCTTTTTATTTTATTTTATTTATTTTTATTGGTCCCAAGGATCAAATTCATAACCTTGCACTTGCCAAGCACTTGTGCTGTCTAGCTAAACCTCCAGCTCCTCCATAACCTCTAAGAAGCACATTTTAGTTTCTTTCATCAATGCGGAAACTGAGGCTCAGAAGTTACATAATGTATGTGTCGTCATGAGCCTAGTTAAAACCAGCCCTGACTCCATCACTCTCATCCTTCTGAGCTATCCTGCCTACAAATTAAAAGTGCTTGCAGCATGTAATATCCGTAGAAGTAGGTCCTGGAGAGAGGTGTCGTTTTCAGACATTTTCAGAACTTCAGTCTTAGAGTGCTCCTAAGCATACAGGGAGAAGGAAGCTAAATAATTATCTTTAATGGATGATTTCATAATGAATTACTCTCTTGAGTTTTGTACTCTAACTTCTTATTCTTAATGTTTTAAAACATGGGCTAATGTTTTGGAGCTTTATGCTGTGTTGAAGGTAAAAGTCTTAATTAAATACACTATTCTAAAATTATTTGACAGAGGAAATAAATATTTCCTTAGAAATCCAAAATTAAAATGTGGTGTACAGCATGGGACTTCATGTACAAGATCACACCTTTCTGAAACAAAAAGGCAAAGCAATGATAGTTAAAACTACAGCATCCTTAAAACTACTGGAATTTAGAAAAAAAAAGTATTACAGTGAAATGACCAGTTATTTTTTTAATCAGCCTTTCAGAAACACATGAATTTTTCCATGAATTTACTTACTGTTTTTTAGGCATTTCCAAGCTGACTAAATTAACTCGCCTCAGCATAAATAACAACCTTCTGACGGGTCTGGAAAAGCATACTTTTGATAACATGCTGCATCTTCACTTCCTTTCTCTGGATAACAACAGAATTACTTCACTGAGTGGTTTACAAAAAACCTTTACCCTAATTGAATTATACATCAGCAATAACTATATTGCTATCAATCAGGAGATCTACAATTTAAAGGTGACAGGGGTATTCATTCTTTATATTTTTTAAATATTTATTGTTTACACTATGAAAATAAAGTAAGTTCACTGTTCAGATTTGGTAAATGTAGACAAATATATATAATAAAATTAAAAAGTTAACAAATGTGCATTTTCAATATATATATATATATATATATATATATATATATATATATATATAGTGTGTGTGTGTGTGTGTGTGTGTGACCACAATCAGTGGTCACAATTAGATAAGTCACAATTAGATAAGTTTCTGGAGTAACTTTTTCATACTCAAAGTAACAAAAACCCATTCCTCCTAACAAGTACATCTTCAGTATTGCCAAGATTCCCCAGTCTGGTAGGGGAACAGATACTCTAACACTTTTGTTAGAAAAACTCTAGATTCTCTCTCAGCATTGCAAACGCTAGTTTCGGCTCTTTCTTCTCAGGTTTATTCTCCTGAGCTCCCCGGAGGGCACCATGAAGTTGAGGGTACTGTGGAACTGCTTTCTACAGGGCAGACTCTGAGTTTATTTAATACACACAGTACATGCAGCTTCGTTGTTTCTTAAATTCAGTGGCCACGTCCTCCCTCTGTGAGTCTGACACTGGTCTCTCATTTGCTAATACCATGTTTCTAGGACTTTTATCCCCTCTCATAAACCACATCCATTTTCTGTCTTTCCGCATATTCCGATGTCTCCTCCTCTTTTCTTCCAATATAGCTACAGAAGCAACCCAGCAATCTGCATCAGTAGCAAAAAAAAGCCATTTCCCATGACAACACAGAGACTTTACTCTCTCTTATTTTAACCTCTCCTGTTCTCACCTACTTAGGGTCCCACCTTTGTGGCAAAATACATCCAAGGGTCTGGCTTAATAAGAAAGCACATTTTTCCATAACGAATTTTGCTACCCTCCTTAGAAGACAAAAGCACTCTAGTTTTATCTTTTTTTTTAAACGACAGTGTCTTTCATGCCTGTAATATCTGTACACCTGTGTACATACTACTTGATAGGCCATTACTCCATAAACAAAGTATATCCAGTGTGATTGGAAAATACAATGAATATTTAACAATTTTTAAAAATAATTATTACAGTAAAAAGCACATTACCATTAATCCCCCTCAACTTTCCCTCCCTTGCTTCATACACACTCAGCCCACTGTTCCTGCCACTTTCTGAAGCAGTTGTAGGAGTCCTCTTTGATGAGTGCTTAATTGTGCCGTTATGATGCCTTTTGAGCCTGAATTGATTTTGGCTTTGCGGAAGAGCAAGAATTCTCATGTACCATCCTGTGGATATGGTAGATGAGAGCACACTGCAGTGTTTTTATGATCCTGCCTTTTAATTGGATGGCACTCATCAACATCATTCACTCAATTTTTTATTCCACTCTGTAAAGACATGTAAGAAGACGTCCTAAACTGCTCCAGAAAGTGGCGAGAACAGTTGCATAAGTATATCTGAAGTAAGAAGCAGCATTCTGAGGGGGATTAATGATAATGTCTTTTACTGTAATAAATTTTTAAAATTAAACATTTGTAAATATTTGACATTTGGATTGCTCCTTGCATTTCCTAAATATATTAATGTTCCCTCTAAGCTTTAACTCTTTTTAATCCTAAAAACAATTCTGATCATATAACACAGACCACTGAAATACTCATATTACCCAAAATCATACTGCAGTAGTGTGAAAAGATAACCCTTGCATTTAAAAGCACTCTTAAAGACACTCCAATTCAACATTACTGACCATCAGATAAATTCAAATAAAAATAGCACAGAGATTTGGTCTTACTGCAAGAAGAATGGCTATCATCAAGAAATCAAATAATAAATGCTGGTGAGGCTGCAGAGAAAAAGGATCCCCTCTGTGTTGTTGGTAGAAATGTGAACTAATATGACCACTATGGAAATAAGTATGGAGATTGCTCAAAAGATCTAATTCTAAAAATTTCGTTCGACTCAGATATTCCTCTTCTAGGTATCTTCCCAAAGAATTGAAGACATCATATATTGGGATATATGCATACCCATGTTTATAGCAGCATAATTCAAAATCACTGAATCTTCAAAGTAGCCAATATGTCCATCAACAGATGAATGGATAAAGAAACATGGTGCTATTTATACACAATATTGAGTTTTCCTTTCTATAAAGAAGGACGAATTTGAGTCATTTGTAGGCAAATGGATGTGCCTTGAGACCATAATGCTAAGTGAGACAAATAAGACACACTAGCTTAAATATCATAAGAGTTCTCTGACCTGAGAAACCCAAAATATAAATAAGTATAAAATGTAGGTAATAGGAAACGGAGAGAAAGGTTTTTGTAAAGGGGAAGGAAACAGAGAAGATATCTAGAAGAGGCATGAAAAAGAATTAAAATATGTTGTGTACATGTACCAACTTCCCACAATGAATGTAATCATTATGTTCTGCAAACATGTAATAATAAAAATTAAACACATTCTATAAAATTCTAAGTAATTCAAATAATGTAAGGATAAAAACTTGGAGCTAGAGATATAACTCAAGGAGGGTGCAGACCCTCCCTGGCAAGCACAAGGTCCTCAGTTCGATTCCTGATACCACCCTAGAAGTTAAAAAAATAAAAAATCTTGCTGGAGATATAAATGTCTTATCTTTTATTACTTAGGGTTTATGCAACTTGGTCATTTTAGACATACACGGGAACGTTATTGTATGGAATCAAGAAAACTACCGGCTGTTTGTAATATATCATCTTCCAGAACTGAAAGCTTTGGATGGAATCTCAATTGTAAGTTGTTTTTACAACTGATAATAATTGGTCTAATGTGTGTAGTTCACATGTTCATTGACCATGATAATTCTGAACATTAGTTTATGATGAGCAACTAGTTTATGATGCCACAACTTAAAACCTCTGTCTCCAAAACTTCTTGGAGATTTAGATTTTAAAATGTTTTCCAATATTTAATTATCTGAATTTAGATGGTAAGAGAGGGAAGACAATGCATATGTTTGTACCCAGAGAACTGCAAAACCTAAAAATAAAGAGCATGATTTTATGGAGCAGGATAGAAAAGCCAAGCTCTAGAGTCTCACCATCCTCTTGGTCCTAAAAAAACAGCATTCTATTTCCTGAAAAAGTACAATTGTTAAAACATAAGGAAGCTATATTTGAGCCAACAAACATAGTATGACAATGTCACTAGCAAATAGTGAAGAAAAAACTTAAGACTGAGTACAAAAGCGACATTTGAAGGCTTGGATTCTCTAAGCATAGCTCGTGATTTCCATGTAACAGAGTAAGTACATGACAATTCAGTGCCCATCAGACAATAAAACTCATCAGGTTTTCTGCAGAATTGAGAGCTTCATGATTATTTCATATTCTGAGTTGCTCTGAAAAGATTGCGGATCTCTGCCCTGAGTTTTTCAGGGCCTTCCTCACAATACGCTAACCATTCTCATTCCAACAAACACACATTCTCTCTAGTTTTGAACACTAGATTTCATCTTGTTGTTAGAGTCCATAAAGGATTGTTTTTAAAATAGTTTCATGAAGCTAGTGCTGCCTTTGTTCTAAAAATATTGTTGAAGACCTTATTCTTCCCACTTCTGGATCCTCATTTGAAAGTACACATAGCTCAGTGGCATAAGCGTCTGCCTTGAAAGCAGGCAGTCGTGAGTTCGATCCCCGGTACCGATAAAAAGGAAAAAGACAAAATAAAAAAAGAAAGGACACAGGAGAAAGTACTTTTGGAAATAAGCATAGAGGAAAAAACCTTTTTCCTCCTAAGGGAAAACTGTGTTTTGTTCACTGATAGTGTGTTATTCAACTATTTTCCTTTTTACTTAACTCCAGATGCCAAATTTAGGGTTCAATATTAGAAGCCTAGTGAAATATTACAGTCTCTCTGACCTTAACCCTGATTTTTATCTGTTTTAACTAACATTGCTCTTAGTCTGGACGCTCATTAATGATTTGTACTTTGCAGTTTGATTATTTGTTTTTTCCATGAGTTAGCACAAATTCTTTGTGGAATAAGGTATAATATAAATACATGAATTAATAATGGACATGAAATCTAGACAGACGAATTTAGATTTTAAATGGAAAATGTATTGAAGATTTTTCATTATTTTCTATCCCTTGGTTGAAGTCTACTTTATCTGCATATCCATGCCCTGCTTTCTTTTCATTAATGTTAGCATGGTATGTTTTGTGCTATGTTTTTTACTTTTAACCTGCATATACAATGTATTTGAAGTTTCTTGTTCATATCATATAGTTGGATCATATTTTCTTGATCTTCTGCCAGTTTCTATCTTTAATTGGTGAATATATATCATTTATATTTAATGTAGTTATTGAAATATTAGGGGTTAAATTTGTCATTATAAGTTTATTCTCTTATTTTTTTTCTGTTTTGGTTTTCTTACTTTCCTATGAGTAGATTAACTATTTTTAGAATTCTATTTTTATCTATAGTATTTTAATGAATATATCTCTATGTATTTATATTTTAGTAGTTGCTATCAGTATTATCTGTATGTATGTTAAAGTCTAATGATCTTGACATTTTTTGCCAGTTTGGGAGAAGAGTAAAAATTTTACTTCTTTGTAAGGTTGTTTCTTCTCCACTGTTAGTTTTACATTTGAGAATTACATCAGATAATGTTATTGTATTTTTTAAAATTTTAGTTTAAATACAATGAAGCCCAACAAAAGTAAGGCCAATCAAAACTAAACGGTAAAACTGGTACAGAATTTTGAAGCAAGATAATAGGAAATCAACAATGGCTACCATAGTATATCTTGTTATCTTCCCAATAATTGTCCATCCCATCAGATATAATAAAATAAAATAAAACAAAACAGAATAAAACCAATCAAAACAGAACACTGAATGAAGCAAAGCAATAAATTGGAACAAAACAAAGCAGTAAAAACAATATTGGATTTCAAAAGCAAGACAGAGCAAGGGGCTTAGCTCAGCAACATAAGCACCTGCCTGGCAAGCGCAAAGTTGTGAGTTTGATCCCTGGTAGCAAAAACAAACAAGGACAAGACAGGAGGAAATCACCCATATTTGCTGTATTGCACACTGTTATCCTTCCAGTAGATGTTCAGACGATTGGCTCCAGGTCTGCAAAGTTAATCAAACAATACAAGCATTCGGTTGCGGTTGTACCTCAGTTGCTATCAATTCAGCCTGTCCTCTGAACCAGCCAGTTACTCACTGAGGGTGGGGAGTCTTGATTCTCAGCCCACGTGCTGGTTGGCTCCTGGGAGGGGCAACCTGGCTTCTCTCTTCCTGGGCCTGCATGACTTGCAGAAGGGCAAATTGGCATCTTCTGTTTTTAATTCATTCAAAGATAATTTAGGAAATACTGTAAAAGAAAGAAGCCCTATTGTATCTTCTTTTCTAGTATTCTAAAATTCCATTTATTTGTTTCAGTAATTTCCTTTAGCCAATTTATGACAAGAACTATGACATTTTTGCATAGTTTGGTTTTATCTGAAAATGTCTCAACTTTCCTTTTTATTTCTGAATGGTATTTTCTCTAGATATAGAATTCTTGGTTGATGGTTCTTTTATTTTACTTTATATTTGAAAAGTGGTACATACTCTGGTTCCATGATTCCTGATGATAAATCTGCCATTCAAATTGTTTTCCTCTCACAGATAAGATTTTCTTTCTTTTTGGTAATGGGGATCAAACTCATAACCTCACGCTTGCCAGGCAGAGTCTAAGATCTTATTCTTTTCTCACCACCTTCACGATATTTTGTGTCATTAGTTTTCAGAAATTTCATTGTGATTATGATTATGTGTCCTTGCATAGACTTGGGAAATTTTGTGTTTTGAATTTCCTCGGCTTCCTGAACCTTAGGTCTGTGAAGAGTTTTCAGCTATTAATCCTTTGCATATCTTTTTCGTTCTACCCTATTTCTCTTCTTCTATGAATCCAGTGCTAGGAATATAAAATATTTGTTCTAGTCCCACAAATCCAGCATATGCTCTATCTCAGTAAGGTGAAACTCATTTTTCTTTCTTGTTCATATTGGATAATTTGTATTTATTGTTCTGTCTTCAAATTCATCAGTACTTTTCCCGTTCCTCACCATTTATACTTGGTCTTAGCCAAAAGGCCAAGAAACACATGATCACCATTCATCTATTAAGCCTATCATTGGATTCATTTGGTTATAGTATTTTTCAGTTGTAGTATTTTTTCTTTCATTCTTCTTTTTGTCCTGTATTTCTTTGCCTATGCTTTTTCTTTACTGACAGTTTCTTATTTTTTTTTCCATTTGATTGAAGTATGCTTAGTAACTTCTTGTTACAACATGTCTATGGTAGCTGTTTTGGATAGTTACAAATAACTGTGTTGCTTCAGAGCTTCGGTTTCTTGATTGCCTTTTCACATTTAATTTGAGATTATTTTGGTTTTTGGCATAGTGAGATTTTAGTCTAGACATTCTGGTTATTTTCATAGGCTGTAGACATTATTGAAGTCTTCTATTTTAGCAAACCTGTCTTGACACTGCACCAATAAGAAGCTGGTGTACCTCTCAGTTGCTGTCAGTTGGAGGTAGAAACCCCAATTCTGTTTTCCACAAGGTGTATGCTTCATTAACTGCTGAACTGGACTGGGAGTTCATGTGTCCACCAGGCCTCCATCGATTCGTTCTGGTTAGAAAGGAAGGGACTTGTTACTACTATACATTCAGTCATCCTAGAGCGGGGAGGCAAAGGGCCTCAACCGTGTTCCACAGGCTCCTCATTATCACTGGGCATAAATGGCAGTCCAGTCTCATCATGTGGTCTTCAGTAACACTTTGTTATTTATTTCTGTTTTTGCTTATGTAATTATTGCTGAGAGTAGATAAAAATCCAAGCTGACCCTCATCAAGGGGAGGATAGAGAAATGCCTTACCATGCAGAGCTGGACAAGTGTGAGCAGCCCATATTGGTTTTTTCTGTTGAGTATGGAGGTCAGACCACCATTTATTTTGTTCTGTTTAGCTGGAATAGAACTATTATTGTTTGAAAATGTTCTGCTTTTTGAGACTTTCCTTTCAAAGTCTTTTCACTATAGAAAGCAGGCCCTTCTCTGTGCTTTGTTTTGTTTTCTCTTGTTGACATTTCTGAGTTTCTGGCTACTTCCATCACTCAGTTTAACAATGTAAGGCAAAAAGAAAATCTATGGTATCATTTCTCAGGTCCCAAAGTCTCTAGCTGGTCTGCTTTCTCTGTACCTTTCAGTACTCTTTGCTTGGTTCATATATAATGTGCAGCTATGTTCACTTACTTGACAGGAAGATGACTTAGTTACATTCCAGATGCTGGAACAAAATACCTGATACTACAATGATTTTAGTCCATAGTTGTCTGGCTTGAACACAGAAACTGCATGTCAGAGGGCATGGAAGAGGCAGAGGTGTTAAATGCATGACAGCTAAGAAGCACAGAGAGAGAGACAGACAGACAGAGAGAGAGAGAGAGAGAGAGCTTGGAATAAGAGTGCCCCATGCCAGGTCAGCCTCCAGTGGCCACCTCCAACCAGGCCCCACTTGCTAATGGCTCAGTGAGGTACTGAACGCATCCATGAACAAATCCACTTATGAGTATGGAACCATCAGGATCCCGTCACCTTCCACACACATGAGATTTTGGGGGGAGATTTATATCTAAATGATAACAGGGAAAAGGGAGCGATGAGCCCACTCAGTTTTACCAAGAATCAAAGAATTAATTATCGATAAGAGAGGACATAATTTTCTAAATATACTTATACAGGAAACACCAGAGACTGAGAATGCGAAAGATTTGTTTGGTGGCCGGCTAACCTCTGATATGATTGTAGAAAGACAAGGGCATTCAAACTTTACCCAAATGCAAGAACTTAATTGGACTTCCTCATCCCTCAGGTATAATCAATTTGTGTGTTTTTATATATAATTAAATATGTAATTATTATTTCCTGATAGCTATATCTTTATATATCTTATCTAAACATAACAAATAACTCATCTACCCTAATTCAAATCTTGTGCTAACTTCACTACTCTTTGAAACATATTAATAATTTTTATTATCAGAGACTAAGATTTAAATGTTACAATTTTCTTTTTTGTATTAATATTCCTTTTTTACAACCAAATACTCTAGGTTTGCCCTTCATATCTCTTTTTTATCAAAAATTTCAATACATCTTAGTTAAGAAAATCAGGAAAATAAAAATTAATGGCAATGCCATAACACTTTTAATTCCATCTTCTTGGTTACAACAGCGGCCTCAAACATGTATTCTAGGCTTAAATGTTCAGGCTCCAGACTTATCCAACATGTACCTCCGATCCTCACCAAGAATGCTGTGCCCCCCTCCCCTCGGTTACATTGCCAGAGCTCAGAGTCCAGTGTGGAGACCAGTAGCTCTACGGAACCTCTGGGCTTAGAGAGAAGTGGAGCCCAGCAAGAGAGGAGGCCTCCCAAAGTATGCAGCTGTTAAAGGGTGGCCAGCCTGGCACCAATTTTCACTTCCCTTTACCATAATGCCCAAAGAAAACAAACAGCTGAAAATCCACAAGAGAGAGATAGCTGGTTACACGTAAAATATAAAGTGCCCCTTTCAAAAATTTCCTTCTACACGTAAATTGGGAGAACTAAAGGAACAGGCTGCACCACGCTCGTCTCACCCCTAATCCATTGTGCTGCTCCTCCCGCTGGCCTCGCCTCGGCCTCTCCTGTGGATGTCATGGATGTCATCGCGGCCAAACCAAGGGCCTGTCTCTCCTCCCCACCCCACCGCACCCCACCGCGACCTCTCTGGGGCATGTGAGAATGCTGACTGTTCATTCTTTGTACTTCTTATCTAGTCCTCCCCCTTAAAAATCATTTCACACTCTCGATTTTCCTAATAACCGCTCAGATTTCCTTACGAGTTCTTTCTGGTGGTGTCTGACTTTTATTCTCGGCTTCTCCTTTTCCGTCTTCCCTTCTCTTCTCCTGTAATTTCCTCCCCTTTTTCTCTTTTTCTTATTCTGTGCTCTTTGTAAAGAGATTTATCTTTAGCCATAGTTGTAATTTATGATTTCCAAATTTACTGTTTTTAGCCCAAACCCTGGCTTTTCACCTGAACATTCAATTGCTCTCTAAAAAGTATCTAGGAGACAACATCTGCTTCTTGCTGCCAACCCAAAAAAAGGCCACTCCTTTCTGTCCTTTGCCCTCCATTTTTATTCATCACCATGTTCTGATCAGGTTCCAACTGTCTCAGCTCCTGTGTTTCCACAGTTACTGCACTTGGTATTTCAGAAACCCCTTTGTAGATTTTGTTGTTGTCGTAGATAAACATTCCCTGCAAGCCCATCTGTTATCCATTCCTGCCTTCCAAGATACAAGCTAATCACATTCCTTCCCTTCTCAACATTGTGCCATTGTCTACAGAAAACAATTCTTTTGTATGGCATAGACTAATTTTCATCTTTTGTAGTCCTTTCCTTCACTGCCCATGCCACTTCGTGTTGCAGAAATTTTGAAATACTCGTGCCTGAATCAGCCATCAGATTTGGTTTCATATTTTGCCTTTGTACCTACCGCGCTGCTAGAACTCTTTCCTCATTATTCCTAACAAGTGCCTGTCACCAGGTCTCACCTCAAAACATTTCTCTTCCATGATATCATCCTTGACTTCCTCAAAGAAGTTTTCTTTCTCTAAAATACCATTATAACTAACTCTGTTCAACAATGTTTTAATTTTTCTGGCTCCCACTTCTTGAGAACAGATGCAGTTACTGTTTCTGATATATCTTCATTTGGGAAATATTAATGAAAATATATTGAATGAATAAATGACTTGTTAATGGGTAAATATATGCTATCATAATAAGTTTAGGATTTGTTTTAAAAGTTTCCAGAGGATGGTGATTTAGTGATATGCTCTTCTCTGTCATGGCTCAAATGAAAATAGAGTAGTTCTATAGCTGTAGACTGGGAATCAAGCATTCTGGTTAGTTACCAGAGCATCCTGAAAAGGTAAATTGCCATAAAATTTCAGAAGATCCCACAAAAAGTTCATTTTCAAAGACATTACCTGCTTTTCCTTTTCTCTCCCAATCTTATCACATTCCTAGCATCTCAGTAAAAAAAAAATGTATTTTGCATATGTCCTCTGAATTTTACAACCTGAACATCTTACAACTTTTTATATTATTTCACTATGATTTCATGAAGATTTATGTAAGATGAACTTATAAATTATTTGGAAGTGTTTATTTTGTTTCTTTTGTAGTACTATATTTATGTGGTAAGAAAAAGCAATCAAATTCTATGCCATTTTCTTACATAGGTTCTCAACAGAAATGTATATTTAAGTGATCATTCAATTGTGACATTTTACTATAAGGCTCTGTGTGTGCGCGCACGTGTGTGTGTGTGTGTGTGTGTGTGTGTGTGACTGGCAGTTGAACTCAGCCTTGTGCTTGCCAGGTAGGTGCTGCACCGCTGAGCCGTATCCCTGCCTTAAGGAAATTATTTTCACAGCATTTGTCAAACGAGATTTTGTAACGCCTTTGGCAGTTGTATGTGGAGGAAATACTTTCTTCTAGTATTTTCTGATCCTATTCAAGTTACTGTATTTACTTTTTCTAAATTTAGAACCGTGGATTTGATTCCAGTTGACCAATTTAGAAATGTGTGTAATGTGAATCTGCAGAACAATAATCTTACCTCATTCAGTGGACTAATCTATCTGCCGAATGTGAAAGTGAGTCACCTACAAATCTTTTTGTTGTTTTGTTTTTACTAAGCAAAAAAAAAAATTTCCTTCCAAATTATTTTGATTTGACTTTAGTTTTATACATGTCAAATGTATAAACCTCTACAGTTAGAGTTGGAATAGAAAGCTGCCTGTGTATAATATGAAGAAGGAAATGCTTTGATTCTTACAGCTGCTTCATTGCTTTCTTCCTGTCACCTCGATTCGGCCAGCTTTCTCTCTGCCTGAAGAGTTGCATCTTCTCTGTCAGGCTTGGAGAACTTAGGAGTATGGACTGATAAAGTTGAGCACCTTTCTAGGGTCTTTATTCTTTTATTTGCAGCATTTTAATTTTATTTTCAATATGAATACGTTACTAAGTTAGGTTGCATATCCCAGATTTTGTCTATATTATTTTACCACTTTATGGGCTGTTTGATTGATGTGATGTTCTTTCTGTAGGTCTTATGTCTCAACTATAATCATATTGAATCAATCATGCCTAGACTAAAGCCTCAGACTCACTTGACAAACAGACAGATGCTCTACCAGAAAGTGTCTTCAAGCGGCTATGGACAGCAAGCCACTTCAAAAACAAACAGGTACAATTCTGCTATTCTTTATATTATCACAAAAACTTTTGTGATGATAAAAATTTGAAAATTTAAAAAGAAGCAACACATCCTAGTGCACATATTTAGCGTCTGTTAATAATTGTTTTTATTCAATAGCTACATGCTAGAAACAAACTTCACGAATAAAAGCATACCAAAACCATTCTTTTTGTCATTGTTTTTCCCCTGCTTCCTCATTGTATTTACAAAGGAAGGAAAAACAAAAAGTCCTATGTATTTAATGATCTACGATTTCTTTCTCTTAATTAAGATACACTATATAGTTGTACAAAAGATATAACTCATCTTTTGTATACAAGAGTGATTTTTAGTATTTTCACTAGTTGCACACCATTACTACTAATTCCAGGACATTTTCATCCTGCCACAAAGAAACTCCTTACTCAAGTAATGTAGATTTGGATTTCTTTTAACATTTGTCTTCATTTCTAAATTATCATCTGAACAACTAATGCTCCAGCTCAGTGGAAAGGATTCTTTATGAAGATGAGAACATAATTCCAACCTTTTTCTATCTTTATTATTTGTATACATGTATATTCCTATGCATATATGTCAGTCTAATAACTACATCATTAAATTTGTTTTATATACGTGTATATATAACTATTGAACTTTGAGATATGCAGGTTAGAATGCTTTCATTTCTAGATTTCACAATAATAAACATCTCGAGGGGCTGGGGATTTAGCTCAGCGGCATAAGCGCCTGCCTTGAAAGCAGGCAGTCGTGAGTTCGATCCCTGGTACCGATAAAAATGAAAAAGACAAAAAAAAAAAAAAAAAAAAAAAAAAAAACATCTCGTGCTAACCTTGTATTGAAATACTGTTTACATACACTGCAAAAGAATTCACCAGTTTAAGTGTAAAATTTAAGGGTACAGTTTAAAAAATGTTGACAAATATATTGTCATACTGCCACTATGAAAATCAAGATATGAAATATTCTCATTGCAAAGAGATTCCTCATATCTCTTAGCAATGCTCTTTCCTCCTAACCTTGTCCCTGGAAACAACCAATAATCTATTTTCTCTGTGCTTGACTTTGCCTTGGCTTAGAATTTCATAAGCTCAGGTTTCCATAATAAGTACTCTTCTGAGTCGAGCATAATGCTTTTAGATTTATCTATGTTGTTGCAAGTATCAGTAATTCGTTTTCTCTTTTTGTGCATCAATTTTATTTTTATGAGTCCATGTTTGCAGTACATAATGATTATATTGCTCGCAGGGAGTTTGTACATGTAAATAACGCAGCTCAATAATTTTCAGTGCCGTCCTGTCCCCTCTTTCATCCTCCCTGCAGTTGGTAAATGAACACACACAATGTGGCAATCTCTTTAGTAAAAGATTTCCTCCCTATTTCCTGTTATCAGTCTTTTATTTTGCTCTTTTGGATTTTTGATAAAAGAAGCCTTGTGATTTCTTTTTATCAGTACCAGGGATTGAACTCATGACCACGTGCTTGCAAGGCAGGCGCTTATGCCACTGAGCTAAATCCCCAGCCCAAGCCTTGTGATATTTAAGTTTGCATATCTGATTTATTTCCCTTAACATCATGGTCTCCAAGTACATCCATTTTCCTATAAATGACTAGTTTATCATACTTTACAGCTGAGTAGTAATCCATTGTATATAAATATGACACTTTCTCTGCTCATCTGAATATTTTCAACTAGTATTCCTATTATATAGATTATATGATAAATTATTTATCCATTTATCACTGATAGACATTTGAGTTTTTTTCCACTTTGAGGCCATTATGATTCATCCTACCATGAGCGTTTTATTTATATATATTCTTTATATTGGGGACTATTCATATTTGATTTTTCTAACATTTTTATTAAGTGTAATTTACATGCCCTGTTAACTCATTTTAAGTGTATATAATTTGATACTTTTACTAAATCTAAAGAAATATATGATAATTATTACAATATAATATTAAAGCATTTCCATCACACAAGAAAGTCTTCATGCCCATTTTCAGTCAGTTCCTTTTCCCATTTCTAGATTTAGATAACTTCTAACCTACTGTCAATAAAGGTGAGTTTCCTAGACATTTCATATAAATGGAACTATGTAATATACAATCTTTCCCATCTGATTTTTGTTGCCTGGAATGACAGTTTTCAGTGTATCCACATTGTTACATTTTGCAGGAGTTCCTTCCTTTTCATTGCTGGATATGTTCGATACTCTGTTGCATCGATATGCCACCATTGTGTGTGTCCATTTACCAGCTGACAGACATATGAACTACTCCCATTTTTTAGCTGTATGGGTAGTACTGCCATTAAAGTTTCTGTATAAGTATTCATGTGCACTTATGTTTTCATTATATTTATTTTGGGTGAATACCTAAGAGTGAAGTGTTTGCTTGTGTAGTAATTAAATATTTAACTATTTAAGAAAACGGGCAAACTGTTTTCCTTGTGTAACTACAGTTTAAATTACTGCCAACAGCATATGAGCATTTTAACTTCCCCATATTATTGTCAACATTTTACTATTGCCTGGTTGTTTCATTATAGCCATTCTTGTGGATCTGAAGTAGTATCTTGTTGTGATTTTAATTTGCATTGCTTCAATAATTAGTATTATTGACCATATTTTCAGATGTTTGCTTAGTCTTTCTTTATCTTCTTTGGTAAAATGTATATTCAAATCTGTTACTTTTTTGTTGAGTTCTAAAAACATTAAAAATGCAAGCCCTTAGTCATATATATCATTCACAAATATGTTTGCTCAGCTTATGGCTTATTTTCTTAAATGGTGTCTAAATGTTGATTAAAATAACAAAAATAAAAGCTAAATTTTGATAATGTAGCTCATCAAAATTTTTCTTACAGATGGTGATCTTGGAGGTTTATCTAATAATTCTTTGCTTAATCTAAGATCACAATGGTTTTCTCATGTATTCTTCAAAAAATTCTAGGTTTTTTCTGTTACATTTACACATATGATCTGTTTTGAGTTCACGTTCATATATACTTCGAGGTCAGGTGTGAGTTCTGAATCCATCTTTTTATATGTCTCAGCGACATTTGCTTAGAACAATCACTGTTGCTTGACCTGCCTTGGCCCTATTTGCTGAAAAGTGGTTGACCATGGATGCTAGGCTGTATTCTGGACTCCACTCTACTCAGTTCATCTATGTGTCTGTCTTTGTATCAGTGTTATTTTGATAATTTTACTTTTATAATACACTTTAACTATTAATAAATTTTTAACTATTTTTTCAAGATTGTTTTAGATATTCTGAATTGTCTTTCCTTATAAATTTTAAGATGAGATGATAGTTTTCTGGTGGAAAGAAAGGCTGATGGCATTTTGATAGAGATTTTATCAGATCTGTTGATTAATTTGAAAGAATTGTTATTTTACTAATTTTGTCTTCTAATCCTTGAGCATGAAATACTTCTTCACTTATTTTCATCTTCTTTCATTTCTCTCAGTGGTATTGTTTTCTGTGTATAAATTTTTCACTTACAAAATCAATTGATTTTGTATATTAGCATTTTTTGTGTGTTACTTTGCTGAACTCATATATTAGTTCAAGTAGGTTTTGGTGGATTTCTTAGGATTTTCTGAAACATAACCATGTCATCTGAGAATAAAGTCAGTTGTACTTTTTCTTTTCCAGTTGGATATATTATATTTTTCTTTTTCTTGGCTGATTGTATTAGGTATTGCTTTTCTTTTTTATATTCAACTTTTATTTGTCAATTTGTTTTTTATAGAGTTGTAAAATAAATAGCTTTTATTTATTTTTTAGATACTGATTTTCATTGTGACCTTCTGTACTTCTTTATTCCTTACCACATAAAATATGTTTAAAGAATAAAAACCTATGATAAAATGTAGACATTTTATATTATAGCTCAGTTTTGATATACTGATTTATTTTTTCTTCTTCAATTTATAGAAAATATGTGTCAAACTATATTTTGTAATATAGTTGATTTGAATGTAGGCTTATGGCTTCAAACTAAACTGTGTGTTTCAGAGATACAATGAGCAGTGAAAATTTGCCTCCAATAATGCACAGTTTAGAAGTTCTTCATCTGGGCTACAATGGAATTTGTAACTTAATCCAGCTACAACTTAATAGGCTAAGAAATTTAAAATTTCTTTTTCTACAGGGTAAGTAGAAACACTGTTAATGTCTTTTTCATTAAAAACTGACCTGATAATCATCTTGTTTTGATAAGCAAATAAAAGAATCACCAATTACTCATACATTGACAAAGATATTTTAATAATTTCAAATATGTTTTTCTTTGGTTATTTGTGTATCTTCAAAAACATATTTGAAGTAAAGTGCAGTATTCTGGGGCTACAAACAGCATTACATTATGATTTATTTTTATAGTCAATTTTTAAAAAGCAGCAAAAAGTAATCAAGAGTAGTTTGCAAGCATTTATTAACTCCAGATTTGTGCTAAGTGCTGTGAAACATGTAGAAGTAATATATTTTTATAATTATATATAATTGAGATCCTTGATCTAAAGAGGTAGTTTGAGATCTACCTGTAGAGATGTACTGAAAAAAAGATGAATTAATTTCTGACTGTGGTACTGACAAGTGTAATGGGAGTCCAGAGAAAGAGAAATTGATTCTCCTGACTATCCAATACTCTTTGAGAAACTGGTAGAATTTATATTGGAGGAACATTAGTGTAACAATAATTATGTGATGATAGGATAAAGGTTAAGAGATCTATCAGCAGGACTTGGGGAAGAATCTGATAGTTGGTCTGAATGTAGTAATGTCTTTCCTAGAAGACAGGCTTTCTTATATCTTACTTTTAAAATTTTTAATGTATCTTTTTGCCTATCAAATATAACTGTGGTTTGGGTCAAGAACACGAAAACACCCTTACACACATGCACACACACATATACACACACATGAAATTGAACGCAAAAGTGACAGATTTTTTTAAGATGCATTGACATGCCTAAAAGTGGACAACATAACCTGGGAAGGTCTCCATTAACCTAATAATGTAAAGGGGGTGTGTGCTGAGTTGCCATGGCTAGCATGGCAGATGGGACTGTGGCAACTTTATGCAGAGAATGAGGCCATTTTCTCTATGACAACTGCTATTTATGGAGTCACTGTGCAAGTTGTTTATCTCATTTAATGTCACAGCAACCCTAAAAAGTAAGTACTATTGTGTTCATTTTACAAAAAAAGAAATTGAGGTTCAGTAATATGAAATAATTGGCTCTAATTTGTGCTAGTGCATGTTTTCAAAGCCAGGTCCACCTCGCTTCCCAGCACCCGTTTTCTACGAGCCCGAGCAATGTCATGAGTGCCCTGGACAATGGGGGCCTCATTGAGAGTGACGAGGCCAAAAGGCAGTTTTAAAGGAGGAACTATTAAGACCAAGTAATTAATTAGATGTACACGGGAAGAACAGAAATAGTCCGCGTTGTTTTCACAGTTGCATTAGGAGATTGGTGAGAGAAGGTACTAATGCTCCATAAAGTTATTTTGTGAAGGAGTTAGGGAAAGATCAGCTTGTGTTATAACAAATTTAAGACATAAAAATGGAAACTGTTCTACTTCCTACAAAATATTTTAATAAGAAAGTACTTTAATAAGTAGATAACTTTGAATTCTGGTAATAGATAACCTTTTTTTTTTAAGGGAATGAAATCAGTCAAGTTGAAGGGCTGGACAACTTGGTGGTCCTTCAGGAACTGGTGGTAGACCATAACCGCATCAGAGCATTTAACGACAGTGCTTTTTCCAAACCAAGTTCTCTGTTGTCACTTCACCTGGAGGAAAACAGATTACGAGAGCTGAGCAAACTGCAACCTTTGGCAAAACTAGAGAAACTCTTCCTAGGATATAATAAAATCCAGGTGAGATCATTTTGGTAGTTATGAGATTTACATCTCTGAAATATGATAGTAAAGCTTCCCTCTATAGGAAAGCTTCCACACATGAATGAAAATTTTACTAACTATAATTTATATGCAACATATAGCTCAAGACATATGTTTCTTGATTTGTAGGTTGTCTGATAACTCAGAAAAATACACGTGGACCTACCCACTAATCCATGGTAGCTCTCGGTATCCAAAGCTCATCCTATCAGTGCTCTCCAAGCGCTCTCACTTGTTTCTTTCTTGCTTGTGGTCCAAGCTGTTTGTGGATCTCAGTTCCAGATTTCCCTTGTCTCCTTCAGTCTGGCATGTGTATTTGGTCTACCTGGCATTTGAATCAGCTCCTAACAAGGGGTGTTGTCTTGGGTTTTGTATTCCTACTATTCCCACTCAAATTTTCCTTACATAGGACTTTGCCTTAGTTTCCCCCCAACCCTGGTACCAGGGAGTGAACTCCAACCTCATGCTTGTCAGGCAGAAGCTTGAGAGGGGAAACCCATAAAAATTAGCAAAACAATAATAATTCAAAAAAGGTTTATATAGTCTCTCACTGACCTGCACATTCTAATGTGGTGCTTTTGATTTAGCTATTATGGCCAATAACGTAGATTTGGAAAATTGTTGCCTATAGCCTTGCATCTAATACTCATAGAAACACAACTGTAGATGAGTTCAGGTCTGCATTTCCATTTGATCCCTATGTCTCAATGATGTACCCTCCTTGCATCCAGATCCTCTGTTTATTTTTAAACAATTAGATAATGATCTGATGCTAGAAATAACACCAGGAAATTAAATTAAATTAAATTAAAGCTGCTATTCTTATCTATTATGAGTGATTTAAGTTCTTATCCTGACAGCATACTCAATACATGCTGACTATTGGCTTTCTGGTGATTAACATGTAACAACCAGCTCCCCAGGGGAAAAATACCTTAATTAGTAGCATTTGCCAATTTCCATGGTATAATTTCTTCTACCATGACCAATTTCATGCTGAAACATCACACGATATAATTCTTAAAAATTTACCCATTGACTTTTGTGAGCCAGTAAAAGGTAACCCAATACACTAATATAAAAAATTCAATATTAAAAATGGGACTCCCTCTTTATACAGTTATGGACATATGATTCATTTGATGTCTCTTTAAAACATTATACCATGTTATCCTCTTCAAATATAATAGATTATTTTTATATTAATATGTTCTGTAAGATGTGAATATTTCAGTTAGGTATATTTCCCTCATGGATACAGTTATACACTATTTAATTTGAGGAAATAATGCAATATTTTCCACATGTCCATGATTTCTAATCAGGCTTATTCCACATATAAGAACTTCCTGTGGACTAAAATGCACAATATCTTTAAGGATAACTAGATGAGGACAGAGTGTTTTCGAAGACCTCTTCTATGGTATTCAGTCATAATGCTCAATCTTTTTACAAATCAAATTCTACTTCCAAATGAACCAAATTAGACCTACATATACTTATAGTTAATATATGGTTATTTGTCCACTTCTAATTACAGATACAAATGGCTTTATTGTGTTACTGTGAACAAGCAACAACCTTAAGCTGAGCTTGTTGCCAAAATTTATTAGAACCAGTATTTTAGAAATGTTTGCAAGAACTAAAATGTATTTACAAGCTTTCACCAATGTTAGATCTTCCTGCCTCTTTCAGACTCTTCTTCAAATCTTGCCAAGGCTCAGCTCTAATAATCTTACCCCTGTTCAAAAGTTACACATTTTGTGTTAAATCGTGTCTTTGAGGATGGTTGTGAAGAAACTGGTGATTAATAATAAAACTTCTTGCAGATAAATGTTTTTGCTTTTTGTTTTGTTTTATTTTGTTTTGTCTATTTAAGACAAGGCCTCACTATGCAACTCAGGCTAGCCTTGAGCTCACTTTGTAGCCCAGGCTTGTCTTGAACTCATAGCAATCTTCACATGGTTTTCAGTTCCATTTGGCCCCAGTGGGTATAGAGAATGTTGTGGTCCACCCAAAATCACATGTTCTTCTGTTGTTCAGATTGCATTTAAATATGTACCTTTGATATTTTTCTGAGTATATTTGACTTTTCCACAGTCCTTGGTCAATACTGGAGAAATTAACAAAATATAACCTGATTCCTAGAATACATCATAACTTCTGAGAAAAATTTGGTATTTTTTGTGTACATGCTGCCATATCATTCATTTCCCTGTTAGACTGTCATATTTGCCAGTTGTATATTTGGAATCCATAGTATACAGATCTGCTCTCATTCAACAATGCTGAAAAACCATCATACAGGTTCGCTTCAGCAGACTTAATCATGAGCTACCACAACTCACATCAAATTACTTGACATTAGTTGAGACTGTCATATTTGCCAGTAGTATATTTGGAATCCATAGTATACATTCAACATTCAACATTCAGCAATGCTGAAAAACCATCACACAGGTTCGCTTCAGCGGATTTAATCATGAGCTACAACTCACATCAAATTACTTGGCATTAGTTGATATTTGAAAATTTAACCAAATAATAATTCATTGACTTTTGAACAGGATATGGCAGAACTGGAAAAACTTGATGTTATCGTTTCTCTCAGAGAGCTTACAGTTTATGGCAATCCAGTAAGTATGTTGCTTTTTAATTTGCTAGTTAATTTCTTAATAGTTGTATATAATGTATTTTATATGGTTGGAAACAAGATTTTATTTTGTTTATGATTTATCCATAGCCAGACAACCCAGCAGTATGTAAGACCTAGTACTTTCTTCCACTTGATTACCGTTGTCATCCATAGGGTCACTTTTAGAGCTCGGTAGCTGTCCTCCTTAGCCTGTTTTTCTCTCACAGTACCAACATTGTTATGCTGCATTAATTAACCGAAGTTTAATTCTTCTAATGCCTGTTGAAGTAAGGACTTGTGTTTATTCTTCTCCTCCCTCTCGCTCTCTTCTTCGTTATATCTTTTCTTTCTTCCCCATCTTGGCGATTCTTGTCACTTTACACTTTTCTATACCTTCTAGGAAACAACTTCTTAAGATTCATGAGAATTGCTTTGATTTTTGTGGAATTGCATTTACTTTATAAATTAATTTGAGGAGATATTTGTTGTCTTTCTTGTTGGAGTCTTTGAGGGAATCCAGTAAGTAGCATTTTTATCCACTTTTATCCATTTTTATCCAACAAATTAACAAAATAACAGGTGAAAATATCTGCTTAGTCTAGTGTTCAAAAAAAATCTGTGTAAAAGAACTAACCACAAGATTTTGTATCATAATAGTTTTTTCAATGAAAATATTTTTATTTTAACAAGAATATTATTTTTTATTTTATATTGCATTAATTTCCTTGGTCTCTTGAAATTTAGTTTTCAAAAAAATTCTTAAGTAGGAAGAGTGGCTCATTAATTTTGACTGCTTCTTCTGAATTGACTAATAAGTTTTAGGTGAGAAAGAACTGCTTTAGCAGCATCCTAAAAGTCTTGATGGTGTAGTAGTGCTCTTATTCTTTATTTCTTAAAATATTTTACTCTCCAAAATGTTTCTTCTTTAACTTGTGAGTTATTGAGGTATATACATGTATTTTCATCACTAATTTCAAATAAATGGGATGTTTTTATTTATCTTCCACTGATTTCTAATGTTTCAGATGATACAGTCTTGATATATGTCAGATGATACATTCTTTTGTATTTGTAAAACTTGCTTTGTGGCCTACATTGTGGTCAGTTTTTTTTTCTTTGATTTTAGATATCATTTTCCATTAGTATATATATCTACTACATTCTTTTAAAATAGTTTATTCATTCCTTTTTATGGCTTTTTCATCTCTCTTTCCTTCTTTTTCTTTCTCCTCTTCCTCTTCTTCTTCTCTTCCTTCCTGCAAATATTTTTTAGAGTAGGTTGACATTGTTAAGGGATTGATTATACAGTCAGTATTTACATGTTGAATTAAGTTGGATAGTGTCCTTGGGAAAATGTTTAAGTTTGAAGCTACTTACAAATGATCTTTCACAGTGTAACCCTATTTATGCCTTGATATTGTCTGTACCTAACAAGCAATACATTTAATCAAATGAGCAAAAAATTTTAAAGACTGAAACTCCAAATGACGTTAATAGTTTTTCTTAAAAAAAGTTCTTATTTTTACCTTCATTTGGCATCAAAATAAATCTTTCAAAAATGAGTTCATAACTATAACATCTAATACTATAAATTAGCTGTTAATAAGTCATCTTTGCTGCTTGTGCTAACTTGCCTTCTTTTAAAGGTTAATCTTTGAAATAAAGGTGATACCAGGAATAATTTATTATTTTTAACTTTATTTAGATTTGTAGAAAAATTCTACATCGCCATGTGCTCATATTTCGACTGCCTAACTTACAGATGTTAGATGGGATTCCGATAAATTCAGATGATAGAGCAAAAGCGGAATTTCACTTTTCTGAACTACAAGCAAAGAAAAACTTGGTAATATATTAGTTATATATTCTCCTTTTGGAACATATAAATTGTATTTTATCCTATGCATTTTGACTTAAATGTTTAAACTCATGATGCATAGATCATTTTAATAGCTGCTAATTATTATCAAAAGAAATTCCTTTTCCTAATATCTTTGGCATAAGGTAAGTTATTTAATATCAGTTTGCTCATTGTATGCTTTGACATAAGATAAATTATTTGGTATCTATGTGGTTGTCCTCTCATAAATAGAAACTAACAATAAAATTGTTTCATTTAGGCAGAGAGGAAGGGAAGAAAGCAACTGTTACCCAACTCTCTGGATTGTGTAGTTCTAAAAAGATTGGTGCCTGTAGTCTTATACATTGGCAAGGTAACTAGGCCTTCTACCCACGAGCCCTAAAATGTATCTGACCACATCAGATATAGAAATAGAAGGAACCCAAATGTGTCAGACCATGTCAGACATGGTGGAACATGTTTGTAATCTCAGCACTTGGGAGGCTGAGACAGGAGGATCATTGAGAGTTCAAACCAGTGGGATACAAAGTGAGCTCAAGGCCAGCCTGAACTGCATAGTGAGACCCTGTCTCAAACAGACAAAAAAAAAAAAAAAAAAAAGCAAAAACATTTACCTGTAGGAAGTTTCATTATTAATCACCAGTTTCTTCACAACCATCCTTAAAGACACAATTTAACACAAAGTGTGTGACTTTTGAACAAGGAGGTAAGATTATTAGAGCTGAGCCTTTGCAAGATTTGAAAAAGAGACCTAAGAAGGCAGGGAAACCACTTGAAATTTAGGTTGTTAAGAATTGCTTGGGAGGGGCTGGGGATTTAGGTCAGCGGCATAAGGACCTGCCTTGCAAGCAGGCGGTCGTGAGTTCGATCCCCGGTACCGATAAAAACGAAAAAGACAAAAAAAAAAAAAAAAAAAAAAAAAAAAAACAAGAGTTGCTGGGGATCAAACGCAGGGCTTCACAGGTGCTAAGCAGGTAAATGCTCTACCACTGAGCCACCACCTCAGCCAGCTGAGATGTGAGGGCTGACCCATCATGGAAGGCGGCTTTTGTGTAAGTAAAGCCAGAAATATTAGTCAAGGAAGAATGATTCTTTAAGAAATGGATCTAGAAGAGGAAAGACAAAGGCCTTTGGATGCCCTCTTACTGGGCTTTCACATAACTCTGTGTTGCATAGCTGCCTCTGTTCCTTCTTCCATAAACATGGACTCCTGTACCGTGGACCTTATGACACCGTTGGTTCCTCTATAGTCCACTTTTCCTCTCTACAGTGAATTCACATACTTACTAAGACCTGGTTATGTGTTTTAAGAACCTGTCACACTAGTTCTTATTATAAATAAGCGAACTATACATATAAAATATAAATTATTATTTGTTTCTTTTAAAGCCAAATTGAATATTTAGAAAAGTTTAGAGCTGAAGAGCAATCCATGCATGCATGTGCGCACACACACACACACACACACCATTAAACTAGAATGGGTGAAAAAACCCTGCAAGATAGGAAAAATGATAAAAACTCAGAGAAAACACATAGGAAAATTTTCAAACTCTAGACAAATTCTTATGCTTTACACATTTTAAATTATTGTCATTTCAAAGAAAAAAAAGTAGAAAATATAGACAAAACTTTAAGAATATGATTTATCCAGGGACAGTCTGCCAATTACAGATCACTTGCTCACAGAAGGGGCTTCAGCCCTCATCAGATCAACAGGAGAGGCGAGGGACACAGACTGAGAGTGGCAGAGTGCTTACCTAGCAGGTGAGAACCTGAGTCTGACCCCAGCACTGCAAAAAAATTGATATTCCTCTGTGCTTTAAGTTTTTGAAAAATGAACGTGTATTACATTTTAATTCTTAATGGTTTCCTTTAATCTTGCCTTTTGACTAATCAGCTTCTATTACAGGTTAAAGTAGAAACAGAAACCTGTGAGACTTAAACTTTGTCAGTGTTAATAAAAATTTAGGCAAAGAAAATTTACTTGTGAATATCTACAGAAATTTTTCTAAAATCTATACCTCTTGGGGGGAAAAATCCTAGCCATTTACCTATATGTTGTAACTAAGAAAGAATACCGTATAGTGCCATCAACTCAAGATTTGGTTGTAGGCTTCAGTCTTCAAAAGAGAACAAATAATCAAATAAAATGTAGTTCAGTGATATAAGCCTTCTTTTTATTTTTGAATTTTATATTCCTGGAGCAAGTCATCCTTGAAAAACTTCTACCCCATGAGTTAGTCTCCTATTGCCCTGATTTATCACAGATTTATTAGCTTAGAATCTTCTAACACAGAGTTGTTATCTTACAGTTTTAGGATCAGCAGTCTGAAAAGGAGTCTTAGAGGGCTAAAATCAAAACTTTGGTGGGGCTGCGTTCTCTGGAAGCTTCAGAGGACGAGAGACTGCTGTTTCCACCCTCGGCAGGCCTTGGCTCCGCCTTTGTCCAGCAGGGACGTCCCTGAGACCCCTGCAGCCCTTAGCACACCTGCTGTCACAGTCACCCTTCCATCTCCCTCCCCTGGACAATCCAGAACAATCTCCCCCGTCAAAGTAATCAACTCACACACACTGGCAAACGGGGCTTTGGGAAATAGGGCTCAAATCTTTGGAGAAGGGGAATTATCCTTCCTACAAGACCACATGTGTGAGGGCTCCATGAGACAAGCACAGAAAATTATTGACACACTGAAATTTATAAATTCTACTTTCAAGTAATGTTGGTAAATTTTAAATAATCACTCAGGCGTACTACAAAGATCTTAATTTCCATATGTAATTTTAAAATTGGTTTAATTTAACAGAAAAAGTACAAGAATTCAAATTTTAGTTGGGGATAAATATTTCATTAAAAGGTTTGTTTCGTGCCCATTTTTCTGTCTATCAAATAGTAAGCACAGATTTTGTCCTTCCTACATTACAATACCATCTTGAGTTATATTGGATACATATTCTTGCCATTTGAATCAGTGCTATATAAAAGAATTTAACTCTTTCTCCTTATTCTATATGTAAACATTTTATTAAATTCTACAGTTAATAAAGTAAAGTGGATATTTGAAGTCTTTTTTTTATTTAAAGAAAAAAAAAGAAAGGACATAAAAAAACAAAGCAGTAAAAGGGTACAAGTAATACAGAATTTCAAGGAAAAAAATATACCATAAGAAATCACCAGTTAACAAGTTACATATTATCTTCCCAGAAACAGTTGTCCATATCACTAAATTAAAGCATATAAAGTGAACATTCATACAGTGATATTGGAGACAGTTCCGTTCAATGATCCAACAAAAGCTCAGTAATATGGTTTTCCATCCTACACACTCGAACGTACCTGCGGTTATATCCCTTAGTCCACCCTCCTTTCCTCTCTTCTTCACAATAACAATTAGAATTTTTGAGTTTTATTACTCCCACAGTTCTTACCACTTTTTTTGAAGAGAATAAAACCAAATGTGACTAAGCAAAACAGAGTCAGAACAGAAGGGTGGGCATAGTACATGACGCAAAAATAGAATACCAGGTGATCAAAAGTGGTTACCATTGTGCCTCTTGCTATTTTTAAATTGAGTTGCCTATATCATGAGGTATAATAGAATTGATCAAAACAGTACAGAACAAGACCAATAAAACCTACACTGGAGACCTTACAGGACTTAAAAAAAAGGATAATAGTCAAACCATAATGGGCATCATAGTATATCTTATTGCCTTCAAAGTGGTTGCCTATACCCTCAAACTTGATACTATCAAACAAAATAGAATATAGAATAATCAGACAGAACAAGATGGGGAGAGCAATACTGGGGTTCAAATCAGGTTAATAGGAAAACAAAAGAGTTACTATAATATGTCCCCGCTATTTTTTTAGTTTTCCCTTAATTAAAATAATGAGAGAAAATAGATTAATTTTAAAAAGTGGGGGAGATTGAGATAAGAGAGGACATTGTAACAGAACAACGCAGGTCAGAACTGAACAATTTAAGCATCATTGTGTTTCACCCCCAGATAATCTAACATAATAGTAGTCGCCATAGTTCCTCTTTCCTTGAATTGAGTGTAACTTCGTATGCTGTAGCATCAAGCATACCAAGACAGTGTGAAGCCATTCAAGAGAATGCAAGAATTACAGGGTATTTAGAACCAGCTAATAGAAAACAAACAACGGTTTCTATATTATCTCTTTACCTATAAAGAATTTTGTTTATACTATCGCATATAGTGAAATATAGTAAGATACAACATGTTAAAACCAGTGGAAACAGATTGATGGGACTTCAAAACAAGATGATATTAAATCAGCACTAGCTTTTATGTTGTGTTGTTTTCTTCAAAATAGCTATTCATACTATCACAGATACTAAAATCAAACAACCCAGGTTAAAACCATTGCAATTAATGAGTGAAAACATTATATGGCTTCAAGCCAATCTGATTGGGAATCATGATTACCACATACTTTTAGGTATTCTTATCATTTCTTACACTAGGGAAAACTATTCGGTATTTATACATGTGAGTTTGATTTATTTCACTTACGAGTATGGTCTCAAGCTGCCTCCATTTATTGATAAATACCTCAATGTGATCATTCTTTATAGCTGAGTAGTACTCCATTGTATAAAAATACCACAACTTTTTTATCCATTCTTCAGTTGATGGACACTTAGGTTGTTTCCAAGATCTGGCTATTACAAGTTGTGCTGCTATAAACATGGGTGCACATATATCACTGTGGTATGATGCTTTCAGTTCTTCTGGGAATATGCCTAGAAGTGGTATAGCTGGGTCACATGGGGCTTCCAGTCCCAGTTTTCTGAGACATATCCAGACTGACCTCCATAATGCTTGCACTAGTCTACACGCCCACCAACAGTGCAGGAGAGTTCTTTTTTCCCCACAGCCTCTCCAGCATTTGTTGTTGGTGGTTTTCTTGATCCTGGCCATTCTTTCAGGAGTGAGATGAAATCTCAGTGTGGTTT